AGTGTGCAAGAATTTTTAAATGATAAGTGTTGTACATAATAAAATATCAGAATAAGAAGTGATAGAATGTAAAAATAGATAGATTTAGTAAATTTTGTGTTATAATTAATATAAAAATAAATTAAATTTTCGCATGCCTAAACAGGCGAAATATATGAAACTATGTCCTATATCTTGTAAACGATATTTCTGGCGAATAAAGATTTTCTTTCTTTCTTTCTTTCTTTCTTTCTTTCATTTACTATACGTCTCTGCAATAAAATCCCCTCCGATGATTTCTGAGCGCTGTGGCATCATGACTTTCTTCAAATGTTGCTACAGCGGAATCCTAAACGGTGGGCACTAGCTTAGCTGTGCCCGTAGCATTGCTATCCATGGGCAATAGTGAACACTAATCATCAGGGTATTCTGGTATATATTCGTTACGAAGGTAATAAAAAACTATTCAAAATGTTTTGGCCAAGTCATGCACTTCATGCGTAGTTTATTTTTATTTATTGCTTAGATGGGTGGATGAGCTCACAGCCCACCTGGTGCTAAGTGGTTAGTGAAGCCCATAGACATCCAAAACGTAAATGCGCCACCAACCTTGAGATATAAGTTCTAAGGTCTCAAGTAGGTATAGTTACAGGGTATAGTTATAGAAATAGGCAGGGTGGTGGTATCTTACCTCGCGAAATCACAAGAGGTCCTACATACTACATACCTTATATTAAATAAACGTTAATTTTAAATTAGAAAGGTAAAATTATCACCGACCATTAGAACGTTGACCCATCGCGTCACTTAATTTTATTTACACCTAAAAAAACCACACATTTCTAAATGAAAGGTAGTGTAAAAACGAGTGATCTTTGCCCAAATTGTTACAAGACTTGCAGCCCTCTGTTTTTATGAGCCCTTTAACAACCTAAATACCGTTATTCTATTTCAAACATATATCAAAGTCTTAGTCGTATTCTAGAACGGCTACCCCACCATTCAAAACGGTACCCATTACTTCCTCGCGGCAGAAATATGGGAAGGACAATTGCGTACCTGTGCGGACTCACAATACGGGCGTATGCGTTCCCCAAATAAAAATATTTATAACTAGCAACCCGCCCTCGCTTCGCTTCGGAAACTGTAATTTATTATTGATTGCTCCACTATTTAATGGATGTTATGATACATATACACCTTCCTCTTCAATCACACTATCTATTAAAAAAAACCGCATCAAAATCCGTTGCGTAGTTTTAAAGATTTAAGAATACATAGGGACAGAGAAAGCGACTTTGTTTTATACTATGTAATGATTGATATACTCACAGGATGTTCACTCCTCGGGTCTTCAGAGGACACTGATTCAACTGATACATGTATTCTTATATTTATCTCGTTCCTAAGCCGATAGCTCGAGAGACGATCAGATATAAACATTTCAAGTGATTCAGAAATGAATTTAAGTAAATTTCCAATAAAACAATTTGTTTGTTTCTTATTTGATTCGAAGTTTTTGTTCATTTATTTGGACGAACGAGTTCATGGACAAACTGATGTCAGGCGTCCGTAGTCATCACAACAAGAATACCGCCTTTGGCCTTGACATTAGATCTAAGTAGATAGAGAGAAGGTAGATAGAGTAGAAGTAGATAATCTTTTTACCTGGGGTAGGACCTCTTGTGAGTCCGCACGGGTAGGTACCACCACCCTGCCTATTTCTGCCGTGATGCAGTAATGCGTTTCGGTTTGAAGGATTGGGCAGCCGTTGTAACAATACTTGAGACCTTAGAACTTATATCTCAAGGTGGGTGGTGCATTTACGTTGTAGATGTATATGGACTTCAATAACCACTTAACAACAGCTGGGCTGTGAGCTCGTCCACTCATCTAAGCAATAAAAAAATAAAAAATAAAATGATTGTCTTTCTGAAGGTCTATCTGTCTGAATAAAAGTCTGTCTTCTGAAGAAGATTAGTGGACCGCGCTTCGTTGTTTCTATGGCTCCCGTGCTCCCTCTGATACCATGATAGTTTAAATACCGACAGTCCGAAACTCTGATAGTTTAGGTACAAAAACAAAAAGCGGCCGCAATCAGCACGAACAAAATCAATATTCTTAAAAAAGATGTGTTTTAAATGATTAACCTATCTTTTTTAATTAATTATAGCCATGAACATATTTTTGCGGCAACCCTATTGGGATATGTTCAGAACCATTTTTTTGTTTTGATTATCTTATATATATATCTATCTATAAAAATGAATTGCTGTTCGTTAGTCTCGCTAAAACTCGAGAACGGCTGGATGGATTTGGCTAATTTTGGTCTTGAATTATTTGTGGAAGTCCAGAGAAGGTTTAAAAGGTTTAAAATTAATGAGAATGTTCGGAATTAAATAAAAATAACAATTTTGTTTTCCCTTTGATGTGTCCCCCGTCGGACGGATTCCTTTTGTTTGTTTTAAGTTTATTTTATACAAAAGTTTAGGTCTTTTGTTTATCGATTGAGGCACTACGAAGTCTGCCGGCTCAGCTAGTATTATATATCATTTTCATTCGGTGGCCTGGCGGGTGGAAGTCGATCTCACTGGGGACCCTCTGGTATTGCGTTCTCGCATCGTTTGAGTCACACATTAAGGGACACGGTCTGTCAATGACGTCATCATTCTCCTACTCTTCTCCCAGTCACCTAGAATCGACGCCACATGTTTTCTCCTTCCATACTCCTCTATCATATACCATTTCTTCGCTCACTCCCTTCTTACACATATCGTCTTTCAGGCAATCCATCCATTATTCTGAGAACTGCCTCTTTCTCTACTTCTATCTCTAATGTCTGTCAATGACAGTTTCCATATAATCTAACGATAAGGGAGCAGCACTACGACTGATGATAATGACATGTCATAAATTCAATCAATCGCCAAGCTCAAACACACTCAAATCTGTAAAGCGTAGTATCACAAGTTTCGTCCGACATTCACATTTCAATATCTATTGGCTCCGATAACCACTTATTAACAGGTAAGCCGTTAGCTCCACAAAATCTAAGTTACAGAAAATACAAAATTATTTAGGTATTTGGGAATTTCACTGCACCACAGTCAAAACGAAGTGTCATTTCGTCATCTTATCACAAGTGTGTACTTATCAATAAGTCTATTCGGGATGAGCTTATCGATAAATTGTAACTATCGAAACTTATCGCAACAACATTGTTACAAAATTATTTAAAAATGTCTACATAATGTTTTGTAACGCAGAATACAAAAATACTGAATTTTACTATGGATTTAGATCTTCATTATGACCATTTATATTTAGAATGATTTCTTACAGTTCTTACACCTAAAATGATATAAAATATCACACATATAAAAATTTAAATTTCAGTAAAACTTCTATATGAACATCCAGCGATGTCGCCCGACTTCAGTTTTGTTACGTGAAATCATTAAGATAAGTCTATCTGCCTATTTCGGGCGCGATGCACGTCCCCACACCGAGGGGCGCTCCTGGCGTCATCTGACCCCACCTCCCCGCGGTTCAATATGACAAATGTTCCCTATTGGACACAGGCTTCTCCGAATACTCGCTACTTTTTTTTTAGTTTCCTACCTAAGCTGATGATCCAGAGAGACCATGTCAGCGTCACCGCTCACGGGGCTCAAACCTGACGATGCTGCTAGCACGAACCCTAGCATGAGCAGTGCTTCGCAGAATCTACCACCGGATCGGAAACGTGACCCACTGAGAAGATCCGGCGAGAAACTCAGTGGGCTGTGTCTGTGGGTTAATTTACTCGCCGAGCCCTTCGTCACAAGCGACGGGTTCGACGAGGACGATGACCGGTTCTTGAGGTACCAAAAAGCTCAGTTAATGGATCGGGAGGATGCGTAATTACGTGTGTATGGCGATGTCGACTGTTCACCATTCGGTACACAGGATCGGGTATGAGTTGTAGTAAACTATCAGCGAATAAACAATGAAGTGTTAAAAATACTACAGATATTTTTGTATTTAATTTTTTAATTGTTCTTGTAGGCAGACGTGCATACAGTCCATCTGGTGGTGAGTGGTTACCGTCGCTAATGGATCTCAGCAATGCCAAGGGCACAGCCATTTACTGGCTACCTCTGCTTTTGGTTGCTGGAACGATGACTGGAGCTCGCCACAATGACGGGTCGCGCACAGCCCGCATCCAGCGGCTCTCGCGACCTTTAGCCGAAAACGCAGCTATCCTCCGCCGATAGATGGCGGTTATTTAAGGGGCCACCCAAACGAATCCTGTTTACTTTTCGCCCAAGCTTGCGACCTATCCCAGGCCAGACGTGGCGAGGTAGGAGTGGTGACCGTAGTGGTTTTAGCACAGCTATTAATAACTTAACTCATTTCATTTCATCTATCCTGTCTGCTAGCAATCAGAAATGTTGTATTGGAAACGGATATACTTGAAACCTTAGAACTTATACCTCAAGGTGGGTGGCGCATTTACGCTGTAGATTACTATGAGCTCCAGTAACACTTCACACCAGGTGGGCTGTAAGCACGTCCACGTGTAAGCAATAAAAAAAAACAAATGTCACTACATAAGATATGGTAAACGTATATTTTCTACGTTCGATGGACGCGAACTTCCATCGGACGTTTACTGGTGGTAGGACCTCTTGTGAGTCCGCGCGGGTAGGTACCACCACTCTGTCTATTTCTGCCGTGAAGCAGTAATGTGTTTCGGTTTGAAGGGTGGGGCAGCCGTTGTAACTATACTGAGATCTTAGAACTTATATCTCAAGGTGGGTGGAGCATTTACGTTGTAGATGTCCATGGGCTCCAGTAACCACTTAACACCAGGTGGGCTGTGATCTCGTCCACCCATATAAAAAATAAATAAAAAAAAACTTGCCGTTTTACACTTGTTTTTGCCTCGTATTAATTTCAAGCAAGCAACATAACGCACAAGAAAATCATATCTTCAAGAGCGTTTATGTGTTGCTAGACCCATGAAAAAAAATGCTAAGTGAAAAAAAAAATTGTTTTTATTGCATTTTAAAAATATTGTCTCACTCGGCTTGTATAAGTTAAACTAAATAAGTACATTATTTTTGTCAAGAGTCAGATTGTTGCGTCGCTGGACTCGACGACGGCTCCTTCACGTTTAGCTCCGACAATTATTATTGGCTCGGCGTGCAGTACTCTGAAGAATAAACAAAAACATGTATGATTATAATATCTATATATATAAAAATGAATTGCTGTTCGTTAGTCTCGCTAAAACTCGAGAACGGCTGGAACGATTTGGCTAATTTTGGTTCTGAATTATTCGTGGAAGTCCAGAGAAGGTTTAAAAGGTGAATAAATATGAAAATGCTCGGAATTATATAAAAACAAACAATTTTGTTATTCCTTTGATGTGCCCCCCGTCGGACGGATCTTATTTAGCGATTGAGGCACTACGAAGTCTGCCGGGTCAGCTAGTTTATTTATAATTTATTTAAATATCATTTGTAAGAGAGAACGAACTCTTCGCCGACCTATTTGTTTTGAATTTTTATATGTTTGGAACTGGGAAAAGGATAAGTTTTAGAACTCACTCAGTAGTTCGTTGATGCACTATTCAATTTTCTCACCGGCGAGAGTTATATGTGTTGATTGATCAACAAATCACAATTTTATCGTTTTGGCACCGGCACCATGTTTTAGTTTTTTTACACATACTCTTCGCGCCATTTTCTTACGCGTAGTTTTTCTTGTAGTATTTAACAGATTGGGTGGATAGGGGATTGAGGAAGGAATAAAGAAAAGGAAGTCCCAACACTAGTGTTAAGTGGTTATCGGAGTCCATAGCAATAAAAACGTTAATTCGACGCCCACGAAATTATAATAATGTATAGTGAAAATAATGTTTTTTTTTATTGCTTAGATGGTTGGACGAGCTTATAGCCTATCTGGTGTTAAGGGGTAACTGGAACCCATAGACATCTACAACGTAAATGCGCCACCGACCTTGAGATATATGTCCTAACATCTCTAGTTACAACGGCTGCCCTACCCTTCAAATCGAAGCATTACTGCTTCACGGCAGAAACGGTCGGTGGTGGTACCTACCCGCGCGGACTCACCAGTGGTCCTACCACCATAAAATTAAATGTTATTCGAGACTATTCCTTCGTATCGTTTTTGTCTTCACAACATTCGCCGTAGAAGCACAAGCTACCAGCTGGCTTCAAACGAAGTTCTATCTATGAGTGTGGCTATCTGCCCGTCTGATCGAAGGTATATCAGTTCATTATCGCAGAGTCGCACGGGAGCGCTGAACTGTGACGTCCTGTGTGCTTAGTGAGAGTTTTTTAACGTTTTCCATAGCGTAAAAGTTAGCCTAATTTTGTATGCAGTTGGAAAAGCGCCCCTAGCGGCAAACGTACGCAAGCGATCCCATTCCATACAAATACGAGCTAACTTTTACGCTATCGAGAACGTTAAAAAACTCGCACTAAGCACATAGATCAATAACCCGAGTATGACGTCACCCATAATAACAGTAAGTATGACGTCACCCATGTTGGTCGGTTCCCAGCCGATGTGCTCGCCGGTCCGCTGGTTCTCCGCCCGCAGCCAGTCGTGGAGCGGCCTGAAGTACTCCAGGAGGCCGTCCGCCTTCATCTCCCGCTGTCCGGTCAGCGCCTCCATCGCGTCCGGCCAGGGCTTGGACGAACCCATCTTCAGCATGTTTCTGGGGAAGACAACAGAGTTGGTATCGCCTTCGAGGATGAATATTTCTTTACCTACTTATTGCTAGGAGCTTCGAGGGGCTTTGCTAGCTTCACCGAATGTATGGACGAGATCACGGAGCTCAGCCTCTGAGATTAGCTAATATCTGCCTAGCTAGAGCAGTGCTTAAATCTACCATTGGATCAGAATTGGGCCCGGCGAGAAAATCCGGTGAGAAACTCAGTGGGCTGTGTCTGTGATTTAATTTACACGACGAACCCTTCTCACTCGACGGGTCCGATAAGAACGGTGATCGGTGCTTGGAATGTCTAAAAACATCAATAGTGGATCGGAAGGTTTTTAAATTAAAAAGCTTAGGACCTTAATTATTTTAAACACAATTAAACGAAAAATCAACATTAACTAATCTGTGAGAAAATGAGATAGAAATAGTACTGAGGGTTTCAGATCTGCCACACATGAATTGTATACATGATTCTGTGAACTAATGAAAGCGAGCTCAAAAAAAACTGCAGCATTAGGCTTCTACTGCAACTGCACCAGTTTGGCGCGGGCACTTGAGAGGAGGTTCGGCCTCTGACTCAAACAAAAGCAACTTGTCTTAGCGCACATTGTCCGTCCGCAATAAACCCGGCACGTTCCGGCTCGGAAGGTACTCTATAGTCGTATTTTTTATTAGACGAAGCCGGACTTTTTGGCGGGAACGCGAGTAGTGAAGTTGTGTGATTTGTTTTATTTTGTCTATTTAGTGTTTCTTCGGGTTTAAATGTGTAATAACGGTGGCTTATTAACTGTTTAATATCTGTTAAAGTGCACAAATGTGAGAAAATGAAAAAAGCCGCTGGACGTAACTTCCCGGGATCCTCCAAAAAGTCCACTGAAAAATCTTAGTAAATGACCACCATTTTACTGAGATTATATTTCATCCCATTTCATTTCATTTAATTTCATCCCAGTTGATTAATGTCTCAAATTAATCATCTTCATTTCATTTCACTCCATAATATCATTTTTCATTAAAATAAGAATACAAATTAAAATAAGACATGACTTAAAGGTCTCAGTTACCAGGTCATAAAATCCCTTAAAAATTAGACGAAGCCAACTGACAGTAGCTAATGTCACTTTGTAAAACTATGTTGCCATATTTAAATTAATAGTGATGCGTTCAGTTCTCGTTCAATCAGATAAATGAACAATGAGGGTGAATCATTTCAAACTATAAAAGAATATTATTTCTATTTTACAATAAAATTGTATTAAAGTGCTCTAATATATTATTATGTTACTAGTAGTATGTAACTATAATCAGTTTTTTTTTCTTTTCATTACCTACCTATAATTGTTATATTTTATACAACTATAGTTTCAACTATATGATGTATTGAAAATAGGACAGTCTTACAAGTTTCCTCGCAATGTTTTCCTTAATGTTTAAAACACTCGGTATTCAGTATAGGAAGATACTATAGGAACATAGTCGTCGAAAACTCGTTGGTATGTACAAAGCACGACTAAAATTCGAACCCCGTACCCGATATCGGCAGTTCGGCACACTAACTATTCACTAGAGAATGGAAGCAATTTCATTAATTCAGGAGTTTTTTCAATCATTCACTTTGTCACAACACTATTTTTATTTCACCAAAAACTGACAACACAGTAAACGTCAGTTGACTTCGTCTAATAAAAAATACGACTATATATTATGTGTACTAGACCGTGTGACGTCACGAATACGTCATCAGGCCGCAGCGGACTCACGCGAGCGCGTTGCCGGCGGCGACGCTCTGGTAGATGTCGCAGTCGACCAGCTTCTTGTTGGGGTCCCCGGCCGCATGCTCGCCCGCCAGCTGGCACAGCGCGCGGTGGAACTGGAACTGGATTATGAACGACACGTAATATCTGAAACAACAGGATTACGTATTCAGTTTAGAGCATTCGGGTATTTCGTGTTGTGTAGCAGTTTTTTTTTTATTGCTTAGATGAGTGGACGAGCTCACAGCCCACCTGGTGCTAAGTGGTTACTGGAGCCCATAGACATCCACGACGTAAATGCGCCACCCACCCTGAGATAAGTTCTAAGGTCTCAGTATAGTTACAACGGCAGCCCCACCCTTCAAACCGAAACGCATTACTGCTTCACGGCAGAAATAGGTGGGGTGGTGGTACCTACCCATGCGGACTTACAAGAGGTCCTACCACCAGTACTCATCTGTCTGTTAGGGCATTATAAAAAATCGTGTAATAGCGAAGTGGGCTGGACCCCCACAATCAATTGTTTTGTGGAAGATAAAGAAGACCAGATAGGTAGCTCATAATTTCGGGTCGCATAGAGGGTAACCGCGCTGTGGGCAGAACACCAGCCAAATGGTCAGGTCTGGCAAAGCAAGCGGTTGGTAGTAGTCTATACCTTACGGCCCATACCACCCATGATCGAACACTGTGAAGGAAAGTACATGTGGTCGCGATTATCAGCAGTGAGGGAACGGTGAAGAAGAAGTAGGGATGGTCTTGTGAGCCTACACGAACAGGTACCCTATATATGTCGGCGCGTGTTTTTATAAACCATTAGTTCATGACTAATAAAGATGGGACGACAAACAACACGTGCAAGCATTCATCGAAAACAACACGTGCAAGATAAGAGTCGTAAACAACATCGTCCCACCACGATATCTTGCTATAAAAACGCTCCGTTGTTGTCTCTCGAGCTCAGAAGCCGAGAGAGAGAGAGAGAGAGTCGCCGTGTCGGACGGAGCGCTCCTGCATAATATACGCTCTGAGTTCATTTCTGGTTTTATTTATTTACGAAGACCGCCCGCTTGCCATGTCGCTACCCGAAAGTGGAAATACTCCAACATATATACCTTACAGACTATAGATTTAAAACTTAGAACCCATGCCTCAAGATGGGTGGCGGGATTTGCATTGTTGATGTCTAAAGACCCCGGTAACCACGTAGCCCCAGATGATCCGTGAGCTCGTTCAGGCGCTACCATTATCTTCTCGCATCACACCCCGGCCCTCAGCCTTCACCTGGCGTATTCGACGTTGGCAGACACGTGGTACTTGGCTGCGGCGTCGAAGTCGTCCTCAGTTCTATTAACGGGCGGCTCCACGCCTTGTAGCTGCTCCCTTAGCTTCCAGTAGTGGCAGTTGTAGTCTTCCGGCAGCGTCTTCCTTCTGAACACACCGTATCGGAACAGGTCCAGGGTGTATGCGAACGGTAGGAATGCGATCTTGTCTATTCCCTGAAAGAAGGAAGCCTATTATTTTAAGTGACTCCAGACAGTTGTGGTTACCACTCAGCAGCCGTGTGACGAGGAGGTTCTTATGAAGATACTAGCTGACCCGGCCGACTTCGTAGTGCATCAATCGATAAATAAAAGACCTAACCTTTTGTATAAAATAAACTTAAAACAAACAAAAGAAATCCGACCGACGGAGGACACATCAAAGAAAAAAAACAAAATTGTTATTTTTATTTAATTCCGAGCATTTTGATATATAATAATTCAAGACAAAAACTAGCCAAATCGGTACAGCCGTTCTCGAGTTTAGCGAAACTAACGAACTGCAATTCATTTTTATATATATAGATTTAACTATTTGTAAGACTGTATGTCCCTTTAGTTCACATAATAGGCAGAGTCCTAATGTGGGGTGAAGTGACCATGTATTACATATCCCAATTATTTATTTATAGTTGTTTGAATTCTTCTAATATACGCCTAGGGAGCGTAGTCCCATGCTCTGGCCTGATCAAATTAAGACGACATTAGATTTCAGCATCAATATTTTTTTATTGCTTATATGGGTGGATCTCACGGCCCACCTGGTGTTAAGTAGTTACCTGAGCCCATAGGCATCTACACGAAAATGCCTCCACACATCTTGAGATATGAGTTCTAAGATCTCACTTTTAATAGTACAACAGCTGCCCCTTGGAATCGAAACGCATTACTGCTTCACAGCACAAATAGGCAGAGCGGTGGTACCTACCCGTGCGAACTCACAACACGTCCTACCAACAGTAATTTACGCAAATTATAATTTTTCGGGTTTGATTTTTATTACATTAATGACGATATGATAAAGAAGTGAGCTGACGGCTGATAGAAGAGAATGGAAGGAAAAACTAGCTGTTCCGAGCCCACCTAGTGGGATAAGGTGAAGAAAGTAATGTAGCTATCCACTGCGCAGAGGACAGGTGAGTATGGAGGAACATAGGAGGAGCGGTAGGCAGCGGCTTGGCTCTGCCCCTGGCATTGCTGAAGTCCATGAGCGACGGTAACCACTCACCATCAGGTGGGCCGTATGCTCGTCTGCCTACAAGGGCAATAAAAAAAATAAAAAAAAAAAATTGTCCAAGCAACGCTTTATAACCACGCACACTCGCGGCTAAATAACAAACCATCTTATAAAGCTGATTGATCTCTGTCTGTTCGTCCTCGGCATCGCCCGTGGCCAGTCCGACCCGACGCAGATGTTTCGGTGACGACACCGAGAGAGCTATCGTGTCCCCGACCGCTTCGTGGAAACCTGGAATTAAAAACAGAACGAATTAGCTGACCGATGTCCTGGAGACTTCCACCTAGTACCGTAAAAGCTGGTGCATTTATTGGTGCCACTTTGGCCGGTTTTTTTTTATTATTATTGCTTAGGTGGTTGGACGAGCTCACAGCCCACCTGGTGTTAAGTGGTTACTCTGGAGCCCATAGACATCTACAAAGTAAATGCGCCACCCACCTTGAGATATAAGTTCTAAGGTCTCAGTATAGTTACAACGGCTGCCCCACCCTTCAAAGCGAAACGCATTACTGCTTCGCGCCAGGAACAGGCAGGGTGGTGGTACCTACCCGCGCGGACTCACAAGAGGTCCTACCACCAGTAACTGTAAAGATCCTACCACTATTTAGTTCCAGAATCAAGTTCAGAGAGCTCCGAATCAAGTGATTCAGAGGATATATCAGAATAATTTCATATATTTCATTTGCTATTAATCATGTATTTACTATTAATTTACATTACAATATAATTTTATTAGATAGATACAATATAAAACTTCTAAAAGCTCAATTGTTTTTTATTTATTTATTACTTCATTTATTCATTTTTTCTTTATTTAGTCATCACTGTCTAATCTCATGTGCGTTGCGAGCAGTAGGCAACCCGCCCCCTCATCACTGTCGCCACCTAAGGCGCGGCCAAATTTTTTTTCCTACCTAAGCTGAGAGACTTGAGATGCTATTTCAGCGTAACCTTAACTAGTAGGTGAGCTCACAGGGCTCAAACCTGACGACGTTGCTAACACGAACCCTAGCAAGAGCCGTGCTTCGCAGAATCTACCACCGGATCGGAAACGCGACCCACTGAGAAGATCCGGTGAGAAACTCAGTGGGCTGTGTCTGTGGGTTAATTTACTCGCCGAGCCCTTCGGGTTCGACGAGAACGATCTAGTTCCGCGCGTACTATAATTAACCGATCGTTTCTAATCAGAAACACACCCTTCGTTCAAGGTCTCACTGACCTCTTTACGTCCCGAAACAACAGACTCAAGATTCACCTGAATTCGCTCCCTCGCGGAAGACCGAAGGCTGGTGTCTGTACTGCAAGAAATACTGAATGTGTCCCATCTCGTGGTGCACCGTCCTCAGGTGTTCCACGTTCACTGTCGTGCACATTTTGATCCTGGACGTGGAAAGGGACATTGTTTATTTACCTTGGTTCGCTCCGTCCCTGAACACAACGGGTTGATCCCGGTACTGCAGGTAGTACTGGATGTGCCCCATCTCGTGGTGGGTGGTCTGGAAGTATTCGTAATCGACTGTCGTGCACTGTTTGATCCTTCGAAGCGAAATGGGTACGTTATGAGTTTTCTTAAACAATCTTAATACTTGCGTGTTATGTATTTGTTAGTATTTTATTAGTATTCAAACTACAGTTAGTGCTATTGACTGTGATATTGGCAATGTTGTGTAAAAAAAAATTTTTTTTAATACGCTTTTATTAGCTTCAGACCTATGTATGTTAGTATGTAACGGAATCTTTGAACATGATTTTGACCCCCTTCAAAACGTCGGATTAACTCGAAATTATACTTATTAAAAACCGATGACAATTTAATATTTTAAAAGAAATTTAAAAAATTCAAATTCAAATTAAAATAAATAATAGTTTAAAAAAGCTAACAAAATACGCTTTTGTAGAAAATCCAACTAAAAATAGAAAATAAATTTTAATTAATTTGAATTAAAAACACTGTAAGAAAAAATTATTTTATTGTAAAAAAAGCATGGGGTGCATGGTATCAGTAGTTATAAATATTTTATGAACAGATATGAGTAGAAGGGCTATTTTGATAATATCCTGAAAAGCACCCCACGCTTTTTTACAATAAAATCATTTCTTCTTACACTATTTTTATTCCAAATTTATTAAAATTTTGTTTCTATTTTTTAATTGGATTTTCTATAAAAGCGTATTTTGTTAGTTTTTTTAAACTATTATTTTTTGGGTCTCAATCAATTTTTTGACGTGATAACGTCTTATAAATCAATGAAAATCGGCTGCACGCACGAAAAAGTATCACGTTCCCCCTGAACCTGAGCGTGCAAGCGAGAGCGCGGAACAAGCGATAGAGAGGCACGATCGGCCCAAACGTTGGCTTGTGACACATTTATCTCTCTTGTCGCGTGACGTTAGAGCTAGCAGCTCGAATAATTCTGCTACTGACGTTAAACTATCGTCCGTAAACCGACTTTACAGACAACCAATATTTTTTATGTAGGTAGTTTGACCATTGAAATTTTAGAATATGAATTATATACGATACAATATGATGATTACTTATGGTATGATGTCTTGTGAGCGTGCACGTACTAGGACCACCGCCTTGCCTATTTCTTTCGTGAAGCATGATTAGTAAAGCCGTTATACACAGTACAATACAGCCGTACAGTACCAGGCGATAAATACCGCACATCGACCGTTGAGCTATTTTCATCTGTCTGGAAGGTTAAATTTCGGTGGACAGTATTTAATGTTGGGTACTGTACCATGAGGACTTAGACAAGATTTCTCCAATTACTTAGTGGTATTGACATTGAACTGCCCATGGGTTCTGGTACCTACCGCTTGACAACTGTGCCACTAGTTCATTCACTTGTTTACATTATATAAAATATATCAATAAATTACCTAAAATCTTCACCATCAAAGAAGTCCCAGGCGGAGGCGTGACAAACGATTTCTCTATCCGTCGGCTTCTCTATTATAGAGTTCTTCCAGAACTTCTCGGGCATAGCGGTCAAGTTCAACGACCTAAAGAATTCGTCTGACATTTGAAACATCTTCATCGGAGTGTAGTTCTGGTCTCTCATCGCTTGTGTGACGTCGATCTCCTTCTTGTCCGGATAAGGACGAGTGAAGGATTCGATGTTGTTCCACGTCTGGGCCCACATGTTGCCTGTAATTACAAACAAAATAGACACACGTTATTTGAGCTGGCTGTATAAAGAACGAACCCTGTGCCTTCACATCCATAGATTTATAAGGTAAGTACTTGACGTGACTAATATACTCGTTCAACAAAATCAAACCCGCAAAATTATAATTTGCGTAATTACTGATGGTAGAACCTCTTGTGAGTCCGCACGGGTAAGTACCACTAAACCGCCTATTTGTGCCGTGAAGCAGTAATGCGTTTCGGTTTGATGGTGGGGCACCCGTTGTAACTATGCTTGAGACCTTAGAACTTATATCTCAAGGTGAGTGGCGCATTTACGTTGTAGATGTCTATTGGCTCCAGTAACCACTTTACACCAGGTGGGCTGTGAGCTCGTCCACCCATCTAAGCAATAAAAAAAAATAAAAAATATTTATGAAGTATCTATGTTACCCAGTAAATGCGCCGGTATCGGTCCTCTGGCGGACACGACCTTGTCTCCGTACTTGTCCCGCAGCCTCTTCCTGACGTAGGCGTGCAGCTGCTGGTACAGAGGCTTCACGTCCTCCCACAGCTTCGCCAGCTGCTCCTCGAAGTCCGGTACCTCGTATTCTGATTGCCACCATTCGGCTACGTTATCGAAACCTGTAAGGTAGTTTGAAAAAATCGATTGTAATGGTGGTATATATACGCTCCGTATTGTAATCCTGGACGGGCAAACAGTCCACCTGGTGAGTGATTATCGTCGCCCATGGACGTCAGCAATTCCAGGGGCAGAGACAAAGCGCTGCCTACCGATATGACTTTTTTTCCGGCAGGGGGCCGAGCCTCATGTGAGGCTTCCGCGCTTAGGCGGGGCGCGGTGTATGTAGGACTTGACGGTCTGCAGATGTTCAGAACAGACCGCGGGTCTAAGGATGTTTTAGGGTACTACCCACCAAACGACTCCCCTTGCACTCTCTCACCCGACGTCCGATCTCCACCTGCGGTCAGAACCCAGTAGAGTAGAGTAGGGGGGTTCCCGCGGTCAACACTAAAACCAGACTCGCGGCGTGCAGTCGTGAAGCCACTCTTTAGGTTTAGAGACTACGAGAACCGTTTTAAAATACAATTGAAACTTCGACTGCATGTAGCTACAGCATGTAGTAGTGACCACTCTAGGCCAGTAAGGCAATAAATTAATTCACTCATCAAAGCCAAATATCTATATATGACGTATCCTGTTTTTAATTATCGCTACAGAGTTTTTGTAACGGTAGTGTAATTTATTGAGTGAGCAGTGTAATAATTATTTAGTGAATAATATAATTTATTGAGTGAATTATGTAATTAATTGAGTGAATCAGGTAATCGGGTAATTTATTGAGTGAACTGGGCAATTTATTCAGTGAGCAGTCTGATTTATTGAGTTCCATAATTCAGCGCCATGATCACGGGTAGGCAGAATATTGCGGATCTCCTATCCAGTATCAGAAAAACTCAATCATGGCAAAAACGGTGCTATGGCGTAATGTAAGTCCGCACGGATAACACCTCCCTATTACCACCCTCAATCACGTCTAATAGCTGAGCGGAGCAGTTTCCCAACCAATAAAAAGTACAATTCTAATCCCACACGAGTGGACATAACCATGCTTTGTTTACATAGTCCGAGTTAGACCGAGAGAACTATTAAGTCTTTCGTCCTCATATCTCAAGAGGGGGGTGGTAAGAATCTGCCTACCTATAGACAAAAGATTAGTTTCTATATATATTAATACGTGAAGCAACAACTTTGTACCCGTTTTTACGAAAATTACGTGGATTACGGAGGAGTAGACACTTATAGAGAAAATAGAGAAGGAGTGCAGAAAGGTATTTTTTTTTTAAATTAGGCATTAGTGTACTTTAAAGCAATTAAAAAATTTATTACACACACTACCATGTATTTGACACACACACGCATGCATACTATTTGTTTATAGTCAAACTTTTCTTTTTGCTTTATAGTCTGTGGTCAAATTGAGTATAGATTAAATATTGGACTTTTTGGCGGGAACGCGAGGAGTGAAGTTGTGTGATTTGTTTTATTTTGTCTATTTAGTGTTTCTTCGGGTTTATGAACACCATTTTACTGAGATTATATTTTATCCCATTTCATTTCATTTCATTTCATCCCAGTTGATTAATGTTTCCAATTAATCATCTTCATTTCATTTCACTCCATAATACCATCTTTCATAAAAATATGAATGTAAATTAAAATAAGACATGACTTAAAGGTCTAAGTTACCAGGTCATAAAATCCCTTAAAAAAATTAATAAAAAAAAAAGATTAAATATTGTTTGTCTTTATTAATATTTGTCTAAATGTAGTCTTGGCGAAATCTGTGATTATATAATAGAAGTACAATATTCTTTGACAATAGAATCATAATAGTACATAAACTTATAATTTCAATTCTTTATAGTCGAATTTCGACTACCGGGGGAACACTAGTCGGTATAAATAAATGGCTGGAGTAGGGTCCCTGAAATCTCACCATTAAGCTTGGCGGCCTCGTTGTAAAGGTTCACGTAGTCGGTGAAGTTCTTCTTCGCTGTCGCGCCGGCCGCGTTGTGCCACTCCACCCAGGCATGCTTCAACTCCTCAGGGTCTTGGCTCGTGGAGAATATTTCAGTTATCTCTGTCAGCAAACGTAAAAATTCAACGTGTTGAATTTCAGACGCAATTCCTTGTTCATTTATTTGTTAGTTGAGTGACGAGCTCACGGCCCACCTGATGTTAAGTGATTAGCGGAGCCCATAGACATCTACAACGTAAATGCTGCAACATACTTCGAGACGTAAGTTCTAAGGTTTCAGTTTTTTGCGCTCGCGCCATTATTATTTTTTTAGAACTACTGGTGGTTGGATTTGTATAAAATGGGCAGACAGGCCGCTTTGCATTAAGTAATTATCGGAGTCCAAAAACATGACAACGTGGATCTCGCTAACACCCTTTGATACATACGACTGTATAGTATAACGGCTGTGCCAATTTTGAAACCGAAACGCATTACTGCTTCACGCCAAAAATAGGCAGAGCGGTGGTACCTACCCGTGCGGACTCACAAAACATCCTACCACCAGTAAGAACCTGTTCATCCCACAATGTTTACTTGATTCCGGAATCGAGGCCACCCAACTCGTCACAACAGTCAAAGCCTACTACTAACAATTACTGGTGGTAGGACGTCTTGTGAGTCCGCGCGGGTAGGTACCGCCACCCTGCCTATTTCTGCCGTGAAGCAGTAATGCGTTTCGGTTTGAAGGGAGGGGCAACCGTTGTAACTATTATTTGAGACCTTAGAACTTATATCTCAAAGTGGGTGGCGCATTTACTTTGTAGATGTCTATGGGCTCCAGTAACCACTTAACACCAGGTGGGCTGTGAGCTCGTTCACCGATACAAGCAATAAAAAAAATCAAGTTTACTCACCAGGTTCCAAAGATAGATCACATTTACTCTCATTCTTGTACGAGCAGATCTTCGCAGTGGCGTAGTTCGATTCCATTCCCGATACAGTTCTCATCAAAGCTTGGAATTTGTCGTCAGGCAGAGCCGCAACGCCCAGCTGACTGTATTTCTTGAACATTCTACGCAACGTGAAATCCTGGAAGTCCTGCCACCCGTACATCTTGGTCTCCTCCCAGGCTGCTTTCTCTTGACGTGAGAGCTCTAGGTGAGTTTGTATCTGAAATTTAGAGTAGTAACCCAAATAATTAACTTAACCTTTTTATATAAAAAAATTTATGAAACTCTATAAATAATTTGTGACAGTAGATAAATATACCTATATAAATATGTATATGCTGCATATATGCTATTGTTACCGCGTCAATTCCCCAGCTACAAAATGCTCTTTCGTGCCGAAATGATGACCTCAAACTCATCTCCGGACAGAATGGTTTTTTTTATTTTTATTTTTTTTATTGCTTAGTTGGATGGACGAGCTCACAGCCCACCTGATATTAAGTGGTTTATGGAGCCCATAGACATCTACGACCTTGTAGGGTTAGTGCCACCACCCTACCCATTTCTGCCATGAAACAGCAATGCTTAAAGAGTGAGAAGCCGTTGTATTGTAAGATGTGTGGTGTCGTGGGACGCCGGATAGGAACGAAGTTCCTTATTATAAAAATATTAATTTTAAGTTCTATTCGAGGTATAAAAAAACTAAAACTTGAGGTTTCGCAACAACCCACGGCCATTCAGTAACGTGCGAACTTATTGTGGTACACTTCACTCACGGTTGTTTGCATAAGAGTTAGTGTATTGCGAAAACGAACGCTCTGAGATATGAATGATAAAAAAATATGTTATTTTTTGTACGTTATTACAAAGTTAAATCGTACACTGTGTGCAGTACTAATTTGTACGTCATTACAAAATTAAGTCGTACACTTTATGCATTACTAATAAAAATCTTACGTTACGGATGTTTTTTCCCAGTTAGGCTACCCTGTGCAGTGGATCCGAAGGCTGGGTCTGGAGGTGGCGCTCGATAAATCCCAGACCCTGTTGTTCCACGGGGCCCGGAGAGCGCCGCCTCAGGGGGCCCACCTCGTGATCGGAGGCGTTCGCGTCGAGATCGAGGCGACTGGGTTGCGGTACCTCGGTCTCGTACTGGACGGTCGTTGGAGCTTCCGCGCTCACTTTGAGAGATTAGGTCCCCGACTGATGGCGGCCGCCGGCTCGCTTAGTCGGCTGTTGCCGAACGTCGGGGGGCCTGACGTGGTGGTGCGCCGCCTCTACACGGGGGTGGTGCGGTCGATGGCACTGTACGGGGCTCCCGTGTGGTGCCACGCCCTGACCCGCGACAACGTTGCGGCGTTGCGACGTCCGCAGCGCGCGATTGCGGTCAGGGCGGTTCGTGGATACCGCACCGTCTCGTTCGAGGCGGCGTGCNGATTTTTACCAACAAATTTAAAAAATATTGTTATAACTACATAGACAACCCTACAAACCTGTACCTATTTATACTTAGGTCATTTCCATTTCACGTATTCTCATCCCAATTGACCCCTTTTTCGTTGTTATTTGTACCTAAGACGTCCCCAATATCCCCAAAAACAACAGATTTTTACATGTATTTTTATTTAATCAAATAGATTAAAACCAATACCAACTGAGACTTACCTTTAATATATATGCTGGTTCAAACACTAAATAACGTTTATAAATCATAGTCGTCTTCTATTATTATCAAATAAATAAAAGAGAGCAAAGTTTCTAGCACTAAAATAATTACCACCACAGGAAGTTAATTTGAAACGCGATTTTTTATAAGTTAGCACCTATTATCATGCATATTCAGAGTTGTTTTGTGAACTTTCAACATTCTACTATTAAACTACAAAAAATGGAAGATTTTGCAACGAATGTAAAACTTATATTGAGCGTCGAAAGATTTTCCCGGTTTTTTCCCGATTCGCCTCTCAATCCCTAATCGCCCCATTTTACCGGTACTTGTCAAATGTCAGTAGTAGTAGTAGTTGTATTTTTCCAACTGGAAAGGCAAAAGTATCATACCACATACAACCTAATATTTTATAATTTTTTTGTGAAAAATGTTAATACGAATTGAAATGAAATGAAAAGAATTTTGAACATTAATCAATTGGCATAAAATCAAATTAGTCAATTCAATTGGCAAAATATTAGTCATTTACAATTTAGAAATCTAAACATAATGTGACTGTCAACACGGAGGTTTGAGATTAACATTTGACAGACTTTTTGGTGGGAACGCGAGGAGCGAAGTTGTGTGAATTGTTTTATTTTGTCTATTTAATGTTTCTTCAGGTTGAAATGTGTAATAACGGTGGTTTATTAACTGTTTAGTATCTGTGAAAGTGCACAAATGTGCGAAAATTAAACAAAGCCGCTGGACATAACTTCTTGGAATCCTCCAAAAAGTCCACTGAAGAAGTTTCAGTAAATAACACCATTTTACTGAGATTATATTTCATCCCATATCATCTCATCTCATTTTATTTCATTTCATAACAATTGATTAATGTCTCAAATTAATCAACTTGATTTCATATCACTCCATAATATCATATTTTTTTAAAGATTAGGCTGTATGATATATTATCTTTGCCTTTTCATTGGGAAAATTGAACTACTACTAGGTTAGAAGTTTGTAAGTTACTAATTATTTTAATCTTCTATACCCGGCGAAGTTATAACTTAATATTTTTGAGGAAATTTTTAAAAGTAAAAACTTAATTTTTAATATATATTTGATAGTAGCACAACACGAAACCAAGAATGGGCTAAAAACTTAATTTTTAATATATATTTGATCGTAGCACAACACGAAACCAAGAATGGGCAATCTCCTTTACTGTCAAATATCAGAAGTCGGGACGCCAACGAAGGCAGCGGCCGGCGTCCCCGCGGCACGCTCACGGTACACACTAGGGACAGTACCTCGGTGGGGCGCGTCGCAGAGCTGGCAGCGCGCGCTCGCCCTCGGCTCGGGGGTCTGCGCGCAGCGGCACACGGGGCAGCGCAGGTCGCGACTGCGCGCCAGACACTCCGCGTGGAAGGCGTGCGCGCACTGCACGCTCAGCACGCCCGCCACGCTCTCGTCCATGCGCTCTGGGGGACACAACACATAGTCATCCGCACGCTGCCTGACTTCTCCACAATTTTTTTTTCTTACTTAAGCTGAGAGCCTTGATAGGCTATATCACCGTAACCTTAACTAGTAGGTGAGCTCACGGGGCTCAAACCTGACGACGTTGCTAACACGAACCCTAGCAAGAGCCGTGCTTCGCAGAATATACCATTGGATCGGAAACGCGACTCACTGAGAAGATCCGGCGAGAAACTAAGTGGGCTGTGTCTGAGGGTTAATTTACTCGTCGAGCTCTTCGTCGCAAGCGACGGGTTCGACGAGAACGATGACCGGACCTAAAAGCACCGTTAGTGGATCGGGAGGATTCGAAATGACGTGTTCTCCAGAAGAGTAGGGGCGTCTGCACATTGTACACTTAGGGTAAAGTTAAATGGATCTCTCACTCTCCTTTTTTGAAATTAAATTAATATTGTTAAATTTGAAACTTAAAATCGTATTAATGTTTTATAATAGTTTTGCCCAGGATTTCGTTCATATTATATTATAAAATAATAACTCTATTTTTAACCGACTTCCAAAAAGTTATCATTTCGTACCCTTTTTTAAAAAGACAGGTACGTTGTCGAGTTTTTATCGCTAATTTGCTTTGATTTGGAACCAATCACAACTGACGGCATGTGACGCGACACGGGAAGATCCAGTCACGTAATCGATATGGTGAGCGCCAGCCCTGTTCTTGCCTCATTCCCCCAAAGAGACCCAACATATTGGTTTCATTTACTTACTTGTTGGCAATGAACATTTATTTTAATGTGATGTGTAAAATAACAATTCTCAGACTTGAATGCAAGTGTATTGTATGATAACAGTCTTCCAGCCCTCAAGAAAGCATGACACTTCACTATAGGCCCTCAACACTCTTACCACCATTAATACTGATTCTTTATTCTTTATTGTACACGCACAGTTAAAACAATATAATAATTACGAAAAGTTATAAAAATAGCGAGCTTAACTCAACAATTGAGTTATCTACCAGCTAACCGTTCTTAAAGAAAGTGAGCTTTACATAGGTGGATAGAAAAGTACAATCTAATCAATTTACTTATTGATACTGTACACAATAACAATATTAGTAACAATAATAAATAAATAAATAAATAAAAATAAACTGATAATACTGAGAACTCTAGATTGTATAAAATATAAATCATTAAAACTGTGAATATTTACCCAAACAAACAGGACAAGTAGGGAGCTCAGTGTGTGATGGTGGTGGGGAACCATCCTTTGCCCATTCAACCCTTGACACCCAGGCTGTATGACACAGTGCATTTGGTTCCAAACTACTATATGGAACCCCATCAAAAGCCCCATGGAATTCTCGAGCTGCTTGACTAGTGCGAAATCTAAAAAGAAATGATCCTTATTTTAGTATAACAATGACAAAAAACTCAAAAACAAATTTGTGTATTACCATACTGGAGTACAACTGTAACACTAATATTTTTGGCTCCTTAAATAAACTTACGTTAATAGTGCCATGTAATGATCAGGTGAACCATCTCTGAGAACCCTCACATGTGCAATATCCTGTTGACAAGCTGCAGCAAATGCAAGCAGGTCAGGTGCACCTAAAGCACCAGGAACTGCGAGTAGGCAAAGTGTCTTGGCTTCTTCTGCTTCTTTCATTTCACTGTTAAATTATAATTATTATAATTGTTAAATTATAATTATAACGTAATTACGGGACAAATTTTTTGTTAACAAATTTTGTGGAAACAAACCTACTATGAATCTATTGAAATACCAGACCATGTCATGAGTTTCATGAGATACAATCAACTGTGATTGTGTTGGAAATGGTTTCCACAGGTCAACGGCCCTCATGTTTACACAATATCACCTTCATGAGCTTACTTGTTACAGTACAGGTATATGACTGTTAGTTATCAATTTGATCTGTAAATATTTATTTGACTTTAATGGAATACTGAAGTCTTTTGTTCCTGTTCAATTGTATAAACAGTGAAAATTTCATTGTGAATGCTACTGTTCTTGGTATAAGGGTGCATGGTATAATTAGTTATAAATATTTTATGAACAGATATGAGTAGAATGGTTAGTTTGATAATATCCTGAAACGCACCCCACACTTTTTTTACAATAAAATCAGTTTTTCTTACACTATTTTTAATTGAAATTTATTAAAATTTATTTTATATTTTTTAGTTGGATTTCCTATAAAAGCATATTTTGTTAGTTTTGTTAAACTAGTATTTATTTTTCATTTTTAGTTGAATTTCAATTTTTTCAATTTTTTTTAAATATTGTATTTTCATCGGTCCTTAATAAGTACACCGAATTTCGAGTTAATCTGATGTTTTGAAGAGGATCAAAATCATGTTCAAAGATTCCGTTACAAACACACATACGTCTGAAGCTAATAATAGTGTATTAAAAAACTTAAAATTTAATGGTAAAGTACCTGTACAATTTTCTACCAATCTTCCCTTAATCCAATTTTTTTGATGATGCGATAACCTTATTTAATAGGATTCTATATTATGCTCTACTTTGACATAATGTATGCCCTGCATGAAGCAGGGTCTTACTGTGTTTTAAATCATACAAATCACTCACTTTTCCTTGTACAAGTGTAATATGCCCTTAGTAATTTCAACTAGTGGATTTCCACAGAAAAAACTAATAGTGTTATCATCTTCAGATATACTGCTGGACTCTGGAGGTGAGCGGCGGGAACTTGTAGGTAGTATGCCTGGGTCAGTGTTGGGTCCACTAAGAATACTAGCATATGTTTCAACTGTTATGGTTTTGGATTCCCTTGCTCCTCGGTCCTTTTTTTTCTGGTCCTTAGAGGCGTCTGATGATCATATGAATATTTGAAATAATAACATTTTTTTTTAGATGTAAGTAAAAATCAAAAGCATATCCATGCAATACGTGATAAATTATTTATCATTGCCACTCACCATTGTTAACACCGTCTGCCATTTCGGACAGTTCTTCGTCTATTTCAATACGTAGTACACACAAAGAGACGGCCATTTAAAAAGTTATTTATAATCGCAAATCTGCGTAAACTCTTGGAGCACAGCTAAGAATGAAACTCAACTCAAAAATACTATTTGTCCATTAAGAAAACTTTGTTTTTAAAAAAATTCGTTCAAACGAATTTCATATAAAGGGTATTCAAATTAGAAAAACTTCCAATTATAACTAGTTACACGTAATAACTTGTAAATTCAATGGAATCGAAACTGTTTTGTGGATTGTGAACGTTTGTCGTTGTTGTGAAACTGAATAAATATATTAAGTGTATAATCTATGAACTGAATTAAGTGTTTGTGTTCAGTGTTGACCATAGATTTTTTTTTTTTTTTATAATGGCAATCTGCCGATACTTTCAGCAATTTCTGCCAGTGTCGTGTTATGGCTACACATGGAACATTGTCGAGCTATTTATACACACTTTATATTATGAAAAGTATGAAATTTTGGAAATAATAATGGTGCCTGGGACTAACACAAAATTAATGTTACTATAAACTTACATATTATAATAAAGATTATGTACAGAGAATAATGCACTACATATAATTATAATTTTATAGAGTTAGTAGTTATAAACTTAATAAAAGCATTTAATAATCTGCTGTCTGGTCTGGGAATAGTGAGAGGAGGTGGCGGACGTTTACCGGCCGTTGAATTTTCAGTTCGCTAATAACTTGGTCCCATATGAATGAGTTGTTCAAGCGACAATTGAGGAAAATGTAATCTATACTGCCGTCGTCCAAACCACATTCACACAACGAATTGTCACGTATTCTAATTTTATGTAGAAATACCGGAGAACAGCAATGACCTAAACGAACTCTACAGAGCACAGATATAACAGGTTTGGAAATCTTTTTAAATTAAAAATTCCATGGTTTTGTAGGAATGGTGGGTTGGATTGAAGCATATAAGCCTCCCTTCGTCTTACTGGACTCTGTCCAGTAGGCTTGCCATGACTTACTTAAATTAAGCTTAGCAAGATGGAGTAAATCATAAGTGTTGGCTCCAAATCAAATCAAATCAAAGGAATTAGATGAAGTAATCTCCAAGTTTTGGTCTTCTGTTTCCGGAAGTAGTTCTGCGACGTTATGATAATCAATAGTGTGTTCATTATCTATTCGCAGATCTACCCTTTCTGAACCCAATGGTGCTAGATGACGATTCGACACTGTTGTTTTGCCACTGGTCTAGAATTTTGCGTAAGTACTGCTGCAATGGAATGATCGGAAGCGTCAGTTTCCACTGTAAAAGGTATATTTTCATCAATTGCATGTATAGACTTTGCGATATCATTTTTCAAGCCTTCGAAACATTTAATTTGCTCGCTTGTGAGTGGAAAAATCGTCGTATTAGCAAGTGAGTGGATCCGTTCAGAAAATTTTGGAATCCACTTAGAATAATGTGCGAACATGCCGAGTGTCCTTCTTAAGATCGGTAAATCGCTTGGTGGAGGTAAATTAATCAGTGGCTTGAGTCGCTCATTGTCAGGTTTAATTATGTGGTTTTGAATATTATAGCCTAGAATATTAATTGACTTTTGAGAAAATTTGCATTTTTGTATACTCAGTGTTAAACCGTATTTCTTTGCGGCATTCATAAAACTTTCTAAGTTATAATCGTGTTCTTCAAGAGTACGGCCAGAAATAATTATATCATCAAGATACGTATATGTGTTTTGAAGCTTCTCTTTTCTTATAATCCAATCGATTGTTCGTTGGAAGCTCGAAACACCATTTGTTACTCCAAAAAGAATACGCCTGAACTGGTACAAATTTTCCAGTGCTTCAAAAGCGGTAAATTTTCTTTCTTCGGGTAGTATAGGTACTTGATGGTACGCGTTTTTCAGGTCTATTAGGCTGAAAAATGTATTCTTTGCCACTTTCGAAACTAAGTCTTCAAGGTTTGGTAAAGGGTACGCGTCGACTTCTGTGTAACGATTAATTGTCTGAGAGTAATCAATTACAAGGCGTTTTTTGTGAGTTTCGCTTTTTGTTATTAGTACTTGGGCCCTCCACGGTGATTTACTTTCTTCAATCACGCCCTCTGCTATAAGGTTTCTGATTTCTTCTTTAATAAATTCACTATCCTGTTTGTTGTGCCTTCGAGACTTGTTAGCAATAGGTTTGCACTTGGGAGATACATTCGCAAAAAGCGGTACAGCTGGTACTGATTCTTCAGCTACGTTACATACTTGAAGTGGATGTTTTGGGCCACCGAAAGAGAACTCTAGCGATTAATGTTCTTCGAGGACGTCATGGCCGATATAATTATCAGCCCAAAGATTTTTCACGATAAGAAGATTCACATTATAATATCTATGATTTCCGACCCGCACGGCAGGTGGGGTATGTGGGAGTCGAACCTCACTAAAAACTCCTGCCGCTCACAGCCGGCGCCCTACCCCGGACCGGGCGGAAGCCCAGTCGGAGCTATTGAGACGGCGGGACAGGGTTTACGCAGAGCACATTACATCCATCCCGCCGTCCCCCAGACGCCGGACCGGCGGCCGCCAGCAACATGACCGCCGCTTCCCTCGGTCGACGGGCCAAGAGCCCGATTGATAGTGCCGCGCTACACCTTCCCCCGGAGCGGTCGGGGGAACGCGACCTACCACGCCCGCCCCACGCCTAGGTTCCTCCCCGCACAAAGCGGGTGGAGCCCGAAGCTCTTAGCGGGAAGAGAGGCCATAGAAATAGTTTGATTGCAGGATTTTCTTTTTAACCCGCATAGTCTTGCAAAGTTGTCATTTATAAAACTGATGGAGCTGCCGGTGTCGAGAAGTGCTTCTGCTCTTATTCCTCGAATATAAGCGGGTACAGTGGCTTTACGTAATGAAGAAGGTGACGCTGCTGTGATACAAGCGGAAAGATATTCAGTACCTACTACCACAGAATTTGTAGATTTAGAAGAGCTTCTACAAACAGTGGCAAAGTGCCCCTTCTTGTTACAGAGCTGACAAGTCTTTTCAAATGCAGGATAGTTCTTACGAGGATGTATTTGACCCCCACAAAAGAAACATTTTTGTCGTCGAGGATTATTAACAGAAGAGCAGGTCTCTTTGTGCAGAGTTTGTAATTTCGAAGAGGTTTGTTGGTTCTTTTGGAGCAACAGCATTTAAAGAGACAGTATTGAAGTTTTGAGAGTTGATCTCTGCAGTTTCTAGAGAGAGTGCTTGGTTGTAAGCTTGATCAAGTGTTAGAGTTAAGTTTTCTAAAAGCCTTTGTCTGATTTTATGCGGTGATATACCGGATATGAAAGCATCACGTACGCTATCGTTTTTGTTTGTTTCTGCATCAACAGCCACAAAATCATAACCAGATTTTTTGGTTTTACATGCAGTTTTTGCAGTATTGTGATCGCTTCTTCGTAGTTCGTAACTTCGCTTATATATGTGTAGATATTTGGTGATATATGGTTTACCAAAAGTTGAAACTTTATGCTGTCCATTTTTCTGGCGGACGAACCGACTGTGCATCTGTTTCTGGAATGGTCGGCTTCTGCACGAAAATGAAGTTTTCGAAAGTTTTACGCCAGTGTATCCAAGCTCTCGTACTAGAGCTATCTGACGGATCGATATCAAACCTTTCAGGGCGGAGATATCTATCCATTTTTTATTTATTTAGCTTATTAAATTGTAATAAGAGAAAACCTATACTGAATATAAGGTTTTAATAAGCTAAAATTAACAGTAAAATTTGCTTTGATTACATTAGATACATTGACAAATAACTAATAAAACAGATTGACAATGACGTCAACTTATGGCTGATAATTTCAACTAAGAAGTTTACATTAGTGTGCATTACATTTACATTTTTTGAACCACGTAATGAATTTAGGAATTATTAATTTTATTATAAAATACAAGTATCATAACTATCTCCTAATGCATGGTAATGAATAGTATCATATTAACACGAAAGTTGTACTTCTAAAATATTCTTAGAATAATTAGAAATCACTAAAATTTCTAGGTATATGCTTGTTAATATTGAATATCATTAAAAATAACTGAATTTATTAAAACCGCGCTAATCGTACTTTAACTACTAATTGGCCGTCTTCACTGACATTTTTTTGTAGAAGTATTGTTGAAGTTAGTTGAAGTTTTCAATATTTTTTTATCTATATAAGAAATAATTAGACAGTTTAAACGCACTGTGCAACTGTGGGTTTTAAAATTCTTTGGTCACATCTCCAGAAAAGAGCACTTGATGGAGAGACTGGTAGTCCAGGGTCGGGTGGAAGGCAGAAGATCACGCGGCCGCTCACCGACCCGCTGGACTGACCTAATAAAGAAGGCAACCGAGTCCACTATGGTCGAATGTACTCGAAACCCTTCGAACCGCCAGACCTAGAAGCGCATTGCCTGGAGGGCGGTCGTCGGGAGCATGGGTGACCTAATAGGTCCTACTGCACATACAGCGTCAGCGCAACCACGACCTCTCTGACAAGAGTGTCCGACTAAGAAGAATAAACGCACTTGTTAACAAAACGCTGGTAAATACGGCCATTGCCAGCTGACTGACAAAACCGGCGCTTGCGCAATTTAAGCATGAGGTAATAAAATAATTAATAATTGGAAATTTAATTGTTTTTATGATCGAACAATCACCAACAGTCATCGAACAAATGATAATTGTTCAAAATTAATTAATCTGAGTGATAAAAATAAAGATATCTAGTAAGGGTAGGCTAACTTAAGGGTGATCATTTGTTTAATTAAATATAAATAAATAAAAGACGAACAAACAATTATTACATTCGAACATTAACAAGCAAATGACGAACAAATAATTAAATCCGAAAATCAAAACCGGCGCATGCGCAATGTAGGCATGAGGTGATGGTTTGCTTATTAGATATAAAATAATTAATAATTGAAAATTTAAATGTTTTTATGATCGAACAATCACCAATAGTCTAGTCGTCGAACAAACGATAATTGATCAAAATTTATTAATTTGAGCGATAAAAATAAAGATATCTAGTAAGGGCAGGCCAACTTAAGGGTGATCATTTGTTTAATTAATTATAAATAAATAAAAAACGAACAAACAATTTTTATATTCGAACATTAACGAAGAACGACGAACAAATAATTCAAAATAAAAAATCCAAAAATAAAAGAAGGGGGCCAGATTCAGTGAGCTATCTGTGGGCAGAACATAGTTAATATACTTAGGGGCAGATTATACATAGTAACTAACGTATTAAGTAATCTGTTAGAATATGGCTGACAGAAGCAGATCATAGAACATGAGCTGTCAGCTGTAATATCTAAATTGTTTCTTTGTGTTTATTACGCCTCTAAAAATGTTATGATCGTTACATTCTTGCGAATATGGGTGCAAAAGACTCAAAACCTAGTTTTATAACGTATGAAGATGCAGTTAAACGAGGTAGGAAAAGTGATAAAGATAGTCGAAGTGTATTGTTTGATTGTGAAAATATCTGAGTGAATTTATTTCACAGTATCCGATAGTGAATTGAGACGCATCAGAGAAGCATTCAAGAGATGTGCCGGAGCGAACGGGACGGCACTGAGCCTGGAGGCTTTTGTTCACGAGGTTCTGTGCGACGGAGTTCCGTACGATGTTGCGGAATGGTTGTACCAAGCCTGCGGAGGCACCAAAAGGGGAATCGCATTCAAGGAACTCCTCTGCGGCATAGTAGTCCTCACTAAGGGCAACTTGGAGGAGAAAATAAAGTGAGAGATTATCCATATGACATATACAATTGTAAACACTTATGAAATGATGTTTTATGAATTGTAAAATTTCAGTCAACGTTATAACTATGTATTTCAAGTACAAAAAAAATCTTAAATTTTAAGGTTTCTGTGGACCCTGTATGTAAACAATCAAGGAGATAATGGCTCATACATATATAAAAAGGATTTTGCTCGAGCCCTGCACCTGGAGAATACGTCTCTTCCTGCCACTGCAGCGCAGCGCTCAGCTGAAATACTCCTTGGCCTCTTTGGCGCAGGAGACAAAGTTACATTTGACCAGTTTAGGTCTTGGCTACTCATACACAAAGATGCTACAGTGCTGTCAAAATGGTTACTGTCTGAAGTAAATGATGTTTATGATCTGGAAACCCCCACTTTTTATCAGACCTTGGCTGGTGTTACTCATTTGGAAGAGAGGGTGAGTATGCTTTTTATCTTTATAATTTGCTAGTAGTAATAGTAAACAGCTTACTGTAAACTGTGTACAGTTTGTGGTGTACATAAACAACCATGGTAAACATAAAATAAAAACAATTGGCTGTACAAAGCAATTCACAAACAATTAAAATATGAAACATTATTTATTACTTTGTATGCATCTCATAGTTTACTATAATTATAAATCTCTCCAAACTAATAGTTTTTTAAAACACTTATAAGATCAATAAATTGTTGTAGAATAGCATCATTGTATGAGGTAATGAGACTGTTAGTTTGTTTATTATAAAAAAAATAAGTATTGTCTTGGACATTTAATGTATCTGATCTTCACACTCCTATTGCTATATGCTATTACAGACTATTTCTCATAATACTAAATATTAGGACCTGGAAAAAGTTCTCACTGTTTCTTTTTCAAAATAAAAGCTTTTTTAGCTTAAAACCAAAATTTTTATTCAAAGTACTGCCCATCGCTAGCAAGTACTTTCTCCCATCTTACTGGCAATATATGAATTCCGTGTTGGAAAAACAATGTTTCTTTTGAGGCTATCCTAGAATCGATCCATTTTTAGCTTCTTCATACAAATGAAAGCGCTGGTCAGCTTGGTCATGTGCCATTGAATGATATAGGTGAAAATTAGAAGGGGTTATGTCAGGTGAATATGGCAGGTGGGGTAGACCTTCCCTTTCAAGCATTTCCAGGTATGTCGTCACTGGTTTTAAAACCTAAGATTGAGTGCTGTCATGTAGCAAAATCAAATTGTTTTGTTTCTACTTGTATAGGGGCCGCTTTTCTTTTAAGGCTCAACTGAAATGCATCAATTGCAGTAGATAGCGATTCTGCTGTTGAAACAGTAGTTCACACATGTGAAAACGTCGTTCAACGACATTTATAACGTAAACGCCACCACCCACCTTGAGATATGAGTTCTAAGGTCTCAGTATAGTTGCAATGGCTGCCCCACCCTTCAAACCGAGATGCATTACTGCTTTACGGCAGAAATAGGCTGGGTAATGGTACCTACCCTTGTGGACTCACAAGAGGTCCACGATGTAGGAATATAAAGCAAAAATTACAAAAGGCGTAGAACAGAAAGGATAACACGGGATGCGCGCTCGCAAGTCAGATTTCGACTGTTGGCGGGGGATCGGTAAAAATTTTACGACCGGTTCGTCTATGCACCGATGTACTAGCGAAATATTATCGCCGCCGCTATACTGCAGTTATCGCCTGACTTTGCTTGTGAATTTTATTTTGTTTAGTGTAAATCATGTTTTGTACGATTATGTGATAAATGAATGTGTTGATATAAAATAAAGTATGTATGTGTTGTTGTGTAGTCTAATTATAATAAAATATTATAAAATAAATAAATACATGTGAGTCACCCACACACGATGTTATTCCCTCACCATGGAAGTCTATTGTGAAAATTTCTTAAGGACGTATGTCATTAGAAAAATTGATACTGGTCATTAGAAAAATTGGTACCGCAGGCGGGATTCGAACACCGGTGTATCGCTAGATACGAATGCACCGAACGTCTTATCCTTTAGGCCACGACGACTCCAAATGGGAATGTGATTGCCTTGAGCGGTTGTAGTATATTTTAATGTAGTATACATTTTTGATGCATAATTTTATACACTGAAGAATACTGTTCTCTACATTGAAGATAAGGAATTTAAAAAATCTTAAAAATCGTGCACATAATATCCAGATATGACAAAAAATAAATACAGTAATTGTTGTATTTATATGTTACGTGTAGTGCTGCAGGCTATCTTATCATGTTTGTTTTCTATTTAGATCCATTTATTTGATTTTCATCACAATTTTAGCCTACAATATGAAATGTACGTATTTATGTCGTGTACTTGTATCTCATGTTAATTAACATGATGTACTTGAAAAATGTAGCTCTAAACAGTAACGAAGTACTGATAAAGGGTGGAAGAGAATGAAAAACAAACACAACGTAATCTGTGTACCCAAACATGTACTAATACAATTCTAAACAGATTTTTGTCTGTGTAGGCATGTTTATTGCAAGCTAATCTCTAGTGGTTGAACTAATTTGAATACTGTTCCAAACAATGTATCAAGTAATTTTGAGCTAACATTGTATGTCTTACTATTGAATTTCTCATTTTAATTTATTGACAAGCTAATAAGAATGTTTTTGAAATATTTAAATGCATCGGTTTGATCTATCATTGAGTTTTTCTTTAAATTACTTATATATAATACGACGCTTTTGCCGGATCTTCTCAGCGCGTCGCGTTACCGATCCGGTGGTAGATTCTGGCACGATTCTTGCTAGGGTTCGTGTTAGCAACAACGTCAGGTTTGAGCCCCGTGAGCTCACCTACTCGCCCGGTTACGCTGATGTGGTCTCTCTACACCATCAGCTTAGGTAGGAGAAAAAAAACGGCGCTTCTAAGAAATCAGAGAAGTTAAGCTTATGAATAATCCAAATGGTCTTGACCTATATTTTATGGGTATATTATTTTGCACAAATCAGATTTTTATCTTCACCGGAAAAATTTGGGAGATGTCACCCTGAACAAAAAAAAAAGAGGAGAGAAAATTGTACATAATTGTATACATATTATAAACATAACATTAGCTGTTAAGATCAGTGATATGGTCATATCACGTGTGCATATGTATAGACTGCGATTACAACTACAATTACCTGCGTTTTTCTTTTCTTTCTTGAAAGCCAGATTATAAATGTAGCTTAAAGTATCATCTAAATAAAAATGTTACATCCCTAAAATATTTTATATTAGTTTATAAGAAACTCGAAATAAACCTCCATTAATAATTTTTTTATGATAAATACTAGTAGCCTTGCAGTGACTTTGCTCCCATAATGCCCGAGCTGTGCTCAAATTATTTACTACTTTATTTTCAGTTTTTGTGAATGATACATGTAGAATAAAGCATGTCCACGATATTTTGCGGTTTTGCTATCGGAATCACGATACAATAACTTCTATAAACATATTGAATACTAGTCAAAGCGGGCCCGCTCTACTGGCTGATGATTGACTTAACTTTAATCCTTTAGAAGAACAACATGAAAATTTCCTTAAAATTTCATCACAACCGGCCCTGTCGTTTCGGTGTCTATGTGAAATATAATTACATACATACTAACGTATATACGAGTATATTACATGTAGATAACATTTATCCAGGAAGTAACGAGCATTTCCATGTATGATTTACCTCCATTATGGACTACGTCGAATTTTAAAATGTAGTTTCTCAGTCCGATACCACACTAATCTGTATTTTGTACTTTTCAAATATAAAGTACCAGCAGGACTTTTTGGCGGGAACGCGAGGAGTGAAGTTGTGTGATTTGTTTTATTTTGTCTATTTAGTGTTTCTTCAGGTTTAAATGTGTAATAACAATGGTTTATTAACTGTTTACTATCTGTGAAAGTGCACAAATGTGGGAAAATCAAACAAAGCCGCTGGACGTAACTTCTCGGGATCCTCTAAAAAGTCCACTGAAACAATCTCAGTAAATGACCACCATTTTACTCAGATTATATTTCATCCTCTATCATCATCTCATTTCATTTAATTTCATCCCAGTTGATTAATGCCTCAAATTAATCATCTTCATTTCATTTCACTCTATGATATCATTTTTCGTAAAAATAAGAATTAAAATTAAAATAAGACATGACTTAAAGGTCTTAGTTACCAAGTCATAAAATCCCTTAAAAAAAATGCCAGCACTTGAAAAAGGTTTTTCATGAAACGACTAACCAATTACCTTACCGATGGTGCATACGTATGTAACTGCGCACTGACAGCGCGCGTCCTCCAGCTCGTTATCGCTAGCGACTGAGGCCTTTAATGATTTCAGATAAGGTCGATTGATTCCGTACTCGTCCCCACGGCGCGGCGTAGCGAATGTAGGTCTCACGGTTGAGTTTGACATTGACTTAATTATGATCAATATGAAATTCGCCATCTTGACTGATGTAAAACTACGAAAGTAATTTGTTGTTTGGTACAGTGTCTCAAATCACATTAGATCCCAAGTTTTGAAGCTTTGTTTATTCGTTCGTGTTATATGTGCCGGGACGACATTTGTCAGATTTAGTAGGAACTTAAGCAGCTGTTGGCTTGTTGCCACTTTAGGTTACATGCTATTACACGCTATTAAGCCAATCATGGAAGGTTTTTGGTATAGCCCCGTGAACTTACGGAAGCTGGCGCACGAGCTGGTTGAACAAGCGGTCATAATTCACGTTGGAAGCACGATTGGAAGCTCTTCAATTAATAGTCGTAGTGTAGTGTTCCTAAATCGAAACCAACATCGAGCTATGAAATAATTGAAATATGTACATCACGGATCTAGTTACGAGTACCGATACTAACACTAGAAGGCAGGCACGAGATACTCAAATAAGTAGAGACCAAAAAGGAATTATGAGATTTACTGGAGCCCGGCATCCTGCTGAGAACCCTTTTTTTTTTTTTTTAACGCTGGGGAATCCATTTACGGATACCCGGTCGAGGGGGGTAACGGACCGGGTTATGTCGGACTCCGGCGCCTCCTGAGAGGAAGAAGGGGAGAAGAGAAGGGCCGAGGTCCTTCACCTCCCCCAATTTCTCACAGGAGACTACGCCTTGAAAAAGGCGCGCGAAGCACTTGCCTCGCAGAACGACTACCGACTAAACCCCATCGAGCTCCACCACACCGACTACACGAAACTTACGGTACCGCGATGCGCGCCGAAATGCTGAGTACCCCTACCCTTTATAAGTCCTTCATATAGAACTGCACGTCAGGGTAGCTCATCAGTTTAGTAAAAAAAAGCGATCGTCAGAAATACTCAAACGCGTCAGATGTAAAGCTAATAATACGTAGGTACCTACCTAACAAAGGTTCACGATTGACTTCTACCGTGTAGGAAAAACACTGTGTAATAACTGTGTAAACCACCTTTATCCTCCGGTAACCACTTAACACCAGGTGGGCCGTGAGCTTGTCCACACATTTAATCAATAAAAAAATTAAAAGTTAAGGTGGGTAGGTAAATAAAACGTTAAATTCAAATTCTGCGTTTAGGAAGTCTGACGACTTGTCTGACGCCGAAAGTTCGGTTTTAATTTTTTACAATGTCGAACTTTCGGCCTGGTAGGAGAAAAAATAGCATGTGCACCGCGGGAAAAAAGTAGGACATCTCATCCCGCGTGCACAATGTACTATTATTTTGAAGGACATAATGCTAAAATAATTAAAATATATTACCTCAAGCTAAACCTTCTGTAAAATAATTGTAATCTGACAATACGGCGATCTCTTGTTGTATTCTAGCCGCTAGCCTGTGATCCTATGAGAATTTACTCGAGCGTTATGGGGACCTATTCGATTTTGAAGATTAATTGATAGGAAGGAAAAAGGTATATAATGTACTCTTTCAGTAAGAGGGAAACGTCTACAGCTTACAATAGAAAATAAACAGCAGATATTATATTCCGAGGGGATATTAAGTGAACCCTAAAAATGCTCCCATTCAATAAAAGACGGACGGTTCGTAAGTGACACAAGTGAGGAGCGCATTATTAAAACTAGACGACGGCCGACTCGACGTTTCTATGTACTAAGGGGTCCGTATTATTTGTAAGAGATTTGTGAAAATTTTCACTATGCGATTCAGGATTCTCAGGATAGATTTCGATTTTTCGATTATTTTTGTTTAGCAGTAGGTAAAGATAGCTACATAGACTACGCAGCTAACGTAATGGTGTAGTACAAAAACAACAGCAGAACAATTTACAATATCTGATATTATATATATAAGGTAAATTCCAATATGTTTGTGATTAGAACGACACAGTCAGTCAAACACAATTGAGTTTCTCTGTAATAAAAGTTTTATTGTTCATTATATTAGGTACATGAAATAAGAGTGTGTATTTACTCATTACGTTACAAAAACCTACATACCTGTAATAAAAGAAACGACATTTAATGTTATTATTAACAATGTCAGTTCCTGAATCACAATTAAGTAGTATTTTAAACTTTAAATATTAATTTATTAACAATCACGCGTCTCATGCGTTTTAGGTTATCTTTTCCATAGCTAATTAAATTCATTGATTTGTCATGTCACTCATTCGATGATGATTGATGCGCGGGAAATTGAATTAAAGAAAATTATATTTTTTCTTTACATATATTTTTAACAGAATCGTGTTTCAATAGTGTTGACTGATTGTGTAATATCATAAACCGCAATAAAGCAGCTCATGACGCATCGAAACATTTCCAGGATATAATAGAGCTAGAAAAGTGTTTCTGGTCGCTCCGGAACGGCGCCCCGACGGGGCAGCTGGACGCGGAGAGCCTTGGACCGCTGCTGTCCCCCCCGCTACCCGCCACCGCCGTCGCGGGGACCTTCCTCGCCTTCGACGAGAACCGCGACGGACACGTCGACTTCAAGGAGCTGTGCTGCGGACTGAGCGCCGCCTGCCGCGGACCCACCACCGAGAGATTGAAATGTAAGTACCTCCCCCCACCCCGCGCACCCCACATCTCCCACTTTATACAGACGTTAACTTAAAAGAGCCAAATGTGTTACAGCTAGGTTGTGGGTAGTTTGTGAACTACTCGCCCCTTAAACTGTTTTTGAATCCTTCGCGCTTCAAGAACGAGACGGTAGTTTCTGTTTAAGATTCTAATGTTTTTTTTATTGCACTAAATGGTGTATCAAACAAACCTCATCAGTCTGACCATCAAAGCTATTGAAGTCTCCCTGAGTGCTAATTTCATTGAGTAACGAATACGTTTCACTCAGAGCAGTACACTCAATACTGTTACTCCTCAATCGTCAAATGAAATTGAAAGGAGCGCGCTGAGCCGCCACGCACGGACCACAGACAAGGCCGCAGGACCGAAGGTTGTACCTGTATTGTGAGAGCTACGACGCCGACATACATACACACGCAAACACACAAAAATAATTTAGATACTTCACTTAAATATTAGTACAAATTCACTCCAGTCGAACGAGCAGAAGCAGAAATATTTACGGAAGTAAATTCACAGGAAAAATAAACACAAAACATTTAATAATAATAAATGTTTTTTTTAATAGTTATTCTTAATTAAAAACAATAAAATAGCGATCTTAGCGATTTCGGCATTCTCCGTTTGCGTGTTAGAAGACAAACTGAAATCTGGCATTGTAACAATTATTTCCCGTACACTCACGAAGCGAACGGCGCGGCGCGGCGGTGTAGGCGGTCCACACGTACCTTACTAAAAGTATTAACTATTCTCAATTTGTTCTCTTAGTTGTCAAGTGCTGTGAACTATAAGCGACACCTCACAATTCTAACTCGTTCTAAGATAAAAATTTCCACGGTGATATCTGAGAAGCTGACGCTTTCAAGACTTCCTTCGGCTGCAAACTTGCTGTTCCGAACTAATTTATGCATACTACATTACTATATAAATTGGTATCCTTGGAAACGGTCTTATCCGCAAAACGTCTAAAGTGTCAGGCAGACAGCCCGTCCTAAGGGTGGGTAACTAAGTGATATGGCCCGTCTTTTACTTTTTGAGGATCGGAACCGTATAATGAAGTTATAGAGTGGAGTGCAATATCATTGGAATATCTAAGAATGCAGAAAATATATGTAGTGTATTAATTCTTTCGTCTTTTCATACTTCGCAAACTAAAAGGGGATTGTAATTCGCCCATAGTTTCTCGGCACATCCTCTGGGTCGCGATTCCGATCCGGTGGTAGATTCTGCGAAGCACTGCTCTTGTTAGGGTTGGTGCTAACAAATTCTCTCAGGTTGAGCCCGTGAGCTCACCTACTCGTCCAGGCGTTGCTGGAATAGCCTCTTAGACCTGTGAATAGGTAGGGGAAGTAAATAAAATTAATTAATATATAATGTAATATTTTGACGATTAATACAGGTTCCTTATTTTTATTCGATCTCCATCACAGACCCGACGTGTGGGTTACTTGATAAAGCCCATGATAGTTAATACGCGTCATTTACATTTTACATTTCCGATCTTTGGTTGTACAAACTCTTCATTGCATTGATCGTAGGCGACGACACAATTCTCAGTATTCGCAATAAGTACTGAAATGATCTCCTTAATCTCTAATTTGTTTGCGTCCATCGCTTGCCCTCATTGTCTACCTCGGCAGCGTGGCCGTGAGTCGGTGCTCATCTGTCAGGCCAAAACTAATAATAATGATTATGTATCACCTTTCGTTATTTGAGCTCGTTGTGTCGTGGCGAGCACTAGACGCCTGGTCTACTCGTATCGAACATTGCGACCATACTCGTGTTCAAACTTGCCAATAATCAGAGAGCGCTGTCCAGAGTGTCGTTTGGAAACACATATTACGTTAACGTTATTACTGGTGGTAGGACATCATGTGAGTCCGCACGGGTAGGTACCACCACCCCGCCTATTTCTACCGTGAAGCAGTCATGCGTTTCGGCTTGAAGGGTGGGAAGGTTGTAACTATACTGAGATCTTAGAACTTATATCTGCATTTACGTTGTAGATGTCTATGGGCTCCGATAACCACTTAACACCAGGAGGTGGGCTGTAAGTTCTTCCACCCAACTAAGCAATAAAAAAAAGATATAAACCTACAATGAAATCTCTCGTAGCTGATGTGCGCCAATATTGCGTAACCGATAAAATATATGACTGGATCATGTGACTTTCGCAAACAACTATTTCCGTGTACACACTTTTTGTGCACAGTCAGTGAACACTCGTGTACTCACTAGTCTGGCTTGTATCAATAAAAGTAGTCAGGCCCACAGCCCGACACAGAACTTTACCCCGATTTGTTCTAATCATCATTTATTATCTTCTCTGCCTTAGTGCAGAGGCAGAATATTTCACAGATAAATTGATGTTAATCAATTACCAGGGTCGACAGTACGCAGGGCATGTCCGTGCTCGAAGTGCGTACACGGCACTACTACAAAAATACTAATACTGTTTATGGTTCTTAAGGGGCTCATCTTTCGTGACAACACGGGTGACGGAGGGAAGAAAGCCACTCTTTAGGTTGTCCACGAGGTGGCAGGAAATCGCCTCCAAAAGAATACCCCAAATCGGATGTAGGAGGGAAACGATCAAGGGTGGAGGGGACGCACAGTCCCGCGAGAAGCACTCGTTTTGGACATTCTCGTACAGTCCACTTAACGCACCCTAGCTAGCGGGTCGAGGAGCTCCCTTGGCAATGCCTTACCATCAGGTGGTCTAGCGTGCGGGTCAGCTATGTCTCCATCAACCCGCTCATGCATAGCACGAGTGAGCCTTCGGAAGAACCCCTCAAGCCTCTCCACTCCCAGAACCCAGGCGATTACGTAATTTATGACTTAACTTCAGAATCTGACTATCATGTGGATAGAAAGGTTCAGCTGGCTCGGCGACCTGTATGTGAGATAATACGGTCGGGTATCTGCGTAACTGATACGAGAAGATCTGCTCTCCAGGTACGACGCCAGCAGTCGCACATAGACATGTTGATAGAACCGTTTCCCACAACAACTTTCAGATTAACCCCACGTGCTAGATGCAGTACGGAGTACTGGCACGAATAAGACCGGATCCCAAATGATACAGGACACGGGCCAATCGTAGCGTCGTCAAGTGACCACTGTGAAGCCCGAATTGTTCGGGCCTGATAAGGATCTCCAGCGACATCCTTCTCAGCAGCAGCCGATCGGACGATAACTGGAGGGCCTTAGTCTATCTTTGCCGGGTTTGGGTAGCTCTTGCCCAACTTCCAGATTCCTGGTGTTTTCATGTCACCAATGCCACGCTTTTATAGTCGTGTCGATTGTGTCTACAATTTTCCAGACAATTCGAGAAGTTATCTATGTTGAGAACATTTTTGGGGCCAATTTAGATTATCGAGGTAACATATAAATGTAGAGTAAATAATGAGTTGATCCTACACACTCGTATTCTTTGCTAACCCGCTAAGCTATCGCCATCAGTAAGATAATAAGCGGAGCTGCACACGTGCGTTTCTCTGACACTATAAAAGGACATTCTCGCATCATGTGCAAGAGATGTCATCACCAGACACCGGAGGACGTGGTGCGATCGTTGTGTGCAGTCGACGGGACGTCGTCTACGGTATCGTACCGTGAATCGATCCTGATTCAAGAAATATTTCGCATCTTTAGAACTATAGTGGCCCAATCCAAATATAGTATGTTTTTTGGAAAACACCGAATACAATTTTTAAACCGAAAAGACGTAGAGGAAGGGGACGGAGCGACCGACCGACGGACCGATAGATAAGCTTGTCCCTTTATAAGCTACTCTTGGTCATTTGATAATGGAGTCGCTCAAAAGGGTCACACTATGTCCATGGTCATACTACGTCCATTTTTGCATTAAACTTGAACTTATAAAACTAAGGAACTTATAAAACTTGTTGATTTAGGTTCTGGAAGTTAACAAACAGGTTAGGAACAAAACAAAATACTTGTATAATTCAAATAAGTAATTTAATTATCGGGCATAAGATGCATATTCCCCTTCATGAACATTAACATGTTGAAGTTCTTGTCTGAAAGCGAGGCTCGTTTCGGTGTTAAAATGTCTTGACCCGTGGAAATAAGACGTTCAACTGCAGCGCGTGAGGGCATAGCAGTGTTGTATTTAATGAATATATTTATGAATATCTGTTCCCCGAGGAATGCAGCGTCGTTGATCGGCAAAATATATCTATAGTTTCGTTTTTGTTTCACTCGCCGCCACGCGCCGGCGCCGCCCCGCACTTGTCGGTGCCCTGCGGTAACTATTCGGCATTGGATTAACAATTAACGGACTTCTGCATATTAACGGAAGTTAGCGTGTCCGTTAACATTTGTAAAAGTTTTTACTGGTGGTAGGACCTCTTGTGAGTTCGCGCGGATAAGTACCACCACCCTGCCTATTTTTGCCGTGAAGCAGTAATGCGTTTCGGTTTGAAGGGCGGGGCAGCCGTTGTAACTATACTGAGACCTTAGAACTGATATCCTGATAACCTTAGACTGGTGGGTGGCGCATTTACGTCGTAGATGTCTATGGGCTCCAGTAACCACTTAACAGCAGGTGGGCTGTGAGCTCGTCCACCCATCGAAGCAATAAAAAAAAAACTTAAAAGTTAATCCGTTAATCAAAATGTTAACTTCGTCAATTAACGATTAACTTATTAACGAGTTAATGTCCAGCTGTGTATATAAGCTAATAAATATACATTCCGGTATTCAGTCCAATGTCACACAAAGTGTTGATGTTCCCGAGCAGAGCAATAGCTGTCAGCGGGCTTCTTCTATCAGTCTTATTATTTGCCATCGTAATAATTGTTGTATTTTCGTATTTGTTCACACGCGCGTCACGTTCGGCGGCGACCGTTGCTTCCTCGTATTGTGTTAATAATCACAAGAATGAGAAATGATTATGATAAGGAACGTTATCGCAACTCTCGTGATGCGGCGGCGCTCTCACATAACGCGTATTGTGTTGGGCAACCGATCTGACGGGCAACGTCACGGGCTCTTCCTAGCGCGAGACGCAGAGTTGGAGCTGCGTCGGGTCTAATGTACGTTTTGCAAAACCAACTCTCATCGAGTCAGCCGGGAGTCGGTGGCGGGCCGTCTCTGTCCGGTGTAGCACTTACGTATTATAACAGGTTCGTCTATCTAGGGCCAGTGTTAGCACTACTAACCCCTACTTTGAGCCCCGTGAGCTCACCTACACGTTAGGGCGAAGCTGATATAGTCTCTCAAGGCTATCAGCATAGGTAGGAAAAAAGAAGTCGGCATTCTTACGGTAATAATTCCTCTAGGACGGAATCCAGCTAGAGTAGTAGTACCTCTAGGACTGAACAGAACTATTGCCTGTGCTGTATAAATAAATTGAACTATCTGTACTATGACGCAATCTGTTACAAAATTAACTACAAATTTTTTTTTAATACTCCTTCACTGCTACTAAAATCACATGATGTTATTATATAATAGCAGCACCTGCAGGCAACGCCTGGTAGTAAGATTTATCTAGACTTCAATTCTACTAGCATATTTCTTATTAATCTAACTAGGGATGGAACGGACATGGGACAAAAACTAATTTGTAAATTGTACGACAAGTACATTTTAAAATGTATGCTATCTCGCGAGTTATCTTTAGATATCGGTAGTGAGAAAATAATCCTTGAAAAGCTTAATCAGTTGTCTAATTGAAGGGTGTAATTGCCATACTTCCTATTCCTTATAGAACAACACCTCTAGCTCAAACGTCTCCCGGAAACCCATATGGCGATGCATTCCGGACTAGGACATGTGACCTTTAGATTGCGGGCTCAATTTGACGCAGAGCACTTTGCTTGAGTTTGACAGAGCTACCAAGGCTGCCAAACTGTCTTCATTCTTCTTAAGACTGTTAAGGAAGCGTTTGCATTCAAGGTTGCTTGCCAAGACGTACAGAGATATTGCTTGCTAGTCGACAGATAAAAATGCAATTTCAAATAAACATTATTATTTTACGTTAATTATAAGGGTTTAAGGGAAGCTCCATGCGACTGATCAGGTGAAAGACTTTACTAAAACCCCAATTAACGAGTGCGTGCGCCAAGCCTCAGTTCGCAAACTATGGAAAACATCTGTCAAGGCTTTAATAAACGAGAATTCCACATGATCACGACTGCTCTGCCTAGCTAGAGCAACCGACTGTGATGATAAGGGTTTCGTTCTAGAAATATATCCACATGAACGTGAACCTATCTCTTCAATTCAATATTATCACGTGTTCACTACTTGTCGTAAAGATAACGTATAAAATATTATTATTTGATCATGAATTCGTCAGTCGTCCGTGGCCACGAATACTGTAAAGCATTTGTAACGTCGCGGCGCAGCGTCGGAGTCAATGGGTACAATAACAATAAACACGTAATTCTGTTAATTTTTTTTATTATTTCACCGAACTGTTGCGAGTGAGCAGGAGCAGGACGCATGCTGGCCGCAGGACTCGAACGCCTAGAATATATACACTAGGATACACACTCGTGTTGTCTTTAAACTAAGTTTCATTCATCTATATATTAATACGTGAAGCAAAAACTCTATATCCCTTTTTAAGAAAATTGCGCGGACGGAGGAGAATGTAATTTTCCACACTTATAGAGAATATAGAGAAGCGTAGAGTGCGCAATGCATAATTTTTTTTTTTAAATACATTAAATCAATAAAGAAAACATTACACACACTACATACCATGTATTTGACGCACACACGCATGCATACTAGGTATTTATTGTCAAACTTTTGTTCTTGACGTCTGTGGTCAAATTGGGAATAGAATATGGTTTGTCTTTGTTAATATTTTTTATAGTGTAGTCTTGGCGAAATTTGTGATTATAGAAGTATAAAATACAATCATAATAGTGTACAAACTTACAATTCCAATTAATTACAGTCGAATTTCAACTACTGCGGGACCTCTAGTACATTTTAAAAAATCGTCGTGGCCCAAAGGATAAGACGTCCGGTGTATTCGTATCTAGCGATGCACCGGTGTTCGAATCCCGCACGCGGGTACCAATTTTTCTAATGGAATACGTACTTAACAAATTTAATGTTCACGATTGACTTCGACGGTGAAGGAATAACATCGTGTAATAAAAATCAAACCCGCAAAGTTATAATTTGCGTAATTACTGGTGGTAGGACCTCTTGTGAGTCCGCACGGGTAGGTACCACCGCCCTGCCTATTTCTGCTGTGAAGCAGTAATGCATTTCGGTTTGAAAGGTGGGGCAGCCGTTGTACCTATACTGAGACCTTACAACTTATATCTCAATGTGGGTGGCCCATTTACTTTGTATATGTCTTTGGGCTCCAGTAACCACTTAACAACCAGGTGGGCTGTGAGCTCGTTCACAGATTTAAGCAATAAAAAAATAATAAAAACAATTCAAAACTAAAAATTGATTATAATTTTTTGTAATTATCGTTACGTAGATAAATATTAAATAACAATGCATCAGCGTAACAATGACATTAATTGTACAAGTCTTATTCTTATTTGTGTTGCTTTACTGTCCCCCCAAACGTTTCCCCGTCCTTGTGACGTCACGCGCAGGGAGACAGTCCGCGGGCGCGCGGCTCCACGTGGCACATGTTCAAGTGAGCTCGTTTTGTCTATAGTTTGCTTCAAGATCTTCGATCTGGACAGCGATGGACTCTTGAATAAAAAAGAACTCATCGATATGGTGAGTGTCCTGTGCGAGGTGGCCAACGAGAACCTCAAGAACCAGGGGTCCAGATCCTCCACGCCCGATGGGAGCGAGATCGGGATCCAGAACTTCGACCCGGACGTGATCCTCGCCAACTTGAGGGACAAGCTGGTCGTCGCACCCAAGAACGGACGGAAACCGAACTTCCACCTCGGACCAAGCGGAGATACTGAAGACATCATTAATGTGGTCAGTTCTATTCATTGGTACAATACAACGATAGAGTGATGGAGGCACAGAACAGGCCACATCTGATAAGTGGTCGCCACCCCGGACAGTGGCTGGACGCGGGGCCCGGCCACATGTGAAGCCTGCTCTCACACTTTAAAAGTAGTGACACATATTTTGAAGCATTAAATTCTCTTCCGGGGTACATCTCGACCCCTTGCAATTTTTTTTCCAGGCACTTGTTGCAGCTTGTTACTGATACTTAGCCAGACAACCACATATACTTATTTTTCTATGTTCCATTAAAACCAAGGTAATAAAAACGTGTTAAAATTTTACTTATTGAGCACGAATCGGATGAGAGAGACATCGGTGTACAGTCGAAAGAGTCTAGATCCAAAGAAGTTTCAACAAATTCCGGTCGCGACCTGAGACGCTCGTTACTAACTTTATAGCCGGAGAGCAAGGCCGATGGAGACGTGCTGCTTCCGGAGACGGTGCTGACGCTGGAAGACTTCCTCATCTGGTCGGTGGAGAGCGCCCACGGAGTCGTGACGCCCTTCCTTGACCTCGTCTACCAGGTGTGCCACATCGTGCTGGGGCTGCGGCCGCACTGCCGACACAGCGAGAGGGACATCGGTCAGTACGCGCTGCCCCTCCCCCTCCCCTCCCGCTTGTTGCATCGCCTCCTAACGGCGACGTGTGCGCTGATTGCAGTGCTGGGCTGGCTGCGTCGTTCGGTGGCGCGGGGGTACAGCGTGGGACAGTTCTGGTACCTGGTGGCGGCCGAGTGGTGGGGCGCGTGGCTGGCCTACACGGGGGACGCGGCGGACGCGTGCTGCCGGCCCGCGACGCTGGCCGACGACAGCTTCATGACCAACTCCACGGAGTCCATGGGCTCGCTGCTGTGGCGCTGCGAGACGGCCTCCGTGGACAGCGCGGGCTCCAGCAGCGGCGTCAGCAGCGCCGCGTCGCCGCGCCGGCACCCCGGCTCCGTGCGGAACAAGCGCCTGCTGGCGGACAACACGCTCAAGGTCCGTCCCGCGCCGGGGCCCGCGACCCACGACACTCCCTCTCGGAGGAGAGCTCACGGATTTATTTGCTTGTAAAATACAAAAAATATAAAACATTGAACAGGTCCGTACGCTAACAGGCGAGGGCGGCCACCTGCGGCGCGACGTGACGCTGGCGCAGCACCGCGACTTCGAGCTGGTGCCGGACGCGCTGTGGAGGGCCCTGGCGCTCTGGTACGGAGGACCCGACCCTCTGCCCAGACAGGTTTGCTTTATCAACAATCATCCCTTTGCTTTTCTTTATTTATTTATTACGTGTACGGGTGACCGAGTTCACGACACATTTGGCGTTAAGTGATTACTGGAGCGCGCAGATACCAATACCTGAATGTCTCGCCCACCTTGAAACATGAGGTCTGGGTTCCCAGCTGCCTAGTATCGCGGCTGCCTCGCCCTTCAAACTGAACTGCACTGCTGCTTCACGACAGAAACAGGCAGGGCGGTGGTACCTACCCGTGCGGGCCCACAAAACGTCCTAGCACCAGTAGTTATGCAACTTTAATACACAATGCTATTCCATTATTGTGGAGGTCAATCGTAAACATACCGGTCACCGTCCCCGTCGAACCCGTCGCTTGCGACGAAGGGCTCGTCGAGCGAACTAACCCATAGACACAGCCCACTGAGTTTCTCGCCGGATCTTCTCAGTGGGTCGCGTTTCCGATCCGGTGGTAGATTCTGCGAAGCACTGCTCTTGCTAGGGTCAGTGTTAGCAACACTCCCGTTGAGCCCCGCGAGCTCACCTACTAACGTTAGGGCGAAGCTGAAATAGCCTCTCAAGGCTATCAGCATAGGTAGGAAAAAAAAAAAAAAAAAGTAAATATTTGTTAAGTTCGTATTGTACGGTACCCGCCTGCTGACCCTCTTCCGGCCCCCCGCCCCCCGGCCGCGTCCGCAGCCCACGACGGCTTTAAGTCGTGCTCTGCTGCGTTAATTTCTAATTAAGAAAGAACATATCGGAGCCGCGTATACTGCGGACTTTTTGATCGATGTTAACAAAAAATTAAAAAAAAAACTTTATTTTTCAATTAATAATTGTGTAGAATAAATGTTTTATTGCCGAGGATCTCTTGGTGTAGTTCCGGGTGGTCACAGGACACTGTCGGGGACTTCCTGTTACAGTAACCGTTAATAATGTAAACTATGAGAGCAGCAGCTGTAGTTTGAAGTAGTTTAAAGTAGAATTATTTTGTCCGTGCAGTTCGGGTCATAAAAAATCGGAGCGGTGTAGCGAGTATTTCGCTCTCTCTCCCACTCACGAGCCTTATGGACGGGCATAGTCATGCGTATTATTGTTGTCGATAAGCGTTATCGATAGTGTATTTAGTTTTGTCATTTTGTGGGTTAGTGATAATAATGAAAGAAAAAAATCACTAATCCAACACTTACGTCACATATCGCCGCAGCAAGTTAAAGAGAACGGCAGAAATTAACGCTTTGTAACTTTTCGGGATCTATTCTTATTTCAGTGAAATTTTTTAACACATTGTTGAAAACAACACGTGCATAATATTATTTTGAATCAATTCTGCAGTTTTGATACAAAACAAAGAATTAGCCATTGTGTCACTAAAGAAATTCAGAGAAAGAATGCATATAAACACATTTTTCTTCGACATAATGTATTATAATTTGCAGGTAAGTACAAATGACTCATAACATAATACTGTCTCACCACCCTTCGTATACCGCCCCGCCGCCGTGTACCTGCCTGCGACGACTCATTTGTTTCTATCGACAATGGGGTTGCGCCCGCGCAACATGCTCACCGCCCTAGCCGGGCTATGTTTTATGACCCAAACTGCACGGACAAAATAATTCTACTATAGTGATTCAGTGATACAGATGAAGCACAGTGAATAAGCTGGAGGTCTGCGTTCCAGGTGATAAGGCCTCCGAACTCTGACGTGGAGCTGGAGCTGTACCCGCTGCAGCTCAAGATCATGCGGCACGTGCCCGCCGCGCTCGGCACGCACGGTACGCACCCGCCGCCACTACACTACTAACTACACATGCCTTTGTAATGCCAACGATGGACGACTTTACGGCCGCTCTTTTGGTAACTGGTTACCGTCCGCCGGGGACGTTGATAGAGTCGGGCTCGTAGCTTCTCAAACTTCTTTTGAAGAAAGAAATGCGACAGCAATCAGGGAGGAACGTCGACGGTCGGCCGGTGAGCGGTAGAGGTGGGAACGGTAGACAAGTGTAGTGCGTCCTTGTCGCAGGCTCGGCGGGCTGCGTGCCGGACCGCCAGCTCGCCTACACCGCCGCCTTCTCGCGCCTCGCCACCATCCGCCAGGTCGGTGCACACCACGCTTGCTTCTGTTTTGTTTTGCTGTATGCACTCGTGTGTCGAGTCTGACGTTACCTCATCAACTTGTGTACCGGTGTGTGTAGGTTTGCGAGTTTATATGTGGCGCCTTGGGTCTGGCACGAGAAGACATGCGCCTGTGGCTGCTGGGGGGGCAAGGGGGGGGCGTTGCCGGCGCGCAGGCGGGGGGCCACGCGGGGGGCGTGCTGCTGGACGACGAGCAGCGCACGCTGCACGAGCTGCACCTCGACGAGCGCTCCCGGCTGCTGCTCGAGCTCCGGAACAAGGACCTCACGTGGCCGGAGGAGATCGGAGCCATCAGGTACGCGACTCGGCGGAGCGCGCCCGCGACTCAGTCGCCAACGTACACTCACTGAGAGTCTGTTGTGTTCCAGCTCCAACCGCGCGACGGAGAGACGCGAGACCCTCATCGCCCCCAACCTGCCGGGAGCCACCGGCCTGCACAACCTGGGGAACACCTGCTTCATGAACGCGGCGCTGCAGTCGGTCAGTCAACGTCATCCGCCTCGAGGCGTGAGGTCGAAGTCTCAGCTGCACACTGCGACAGTTGCTTCACAGTGTCTCATGGAATGTACTGCAATGCACCGGCACCGTGTGTCCGCAGGTGTGGAACACGGGCCCGCTGACGCGCTACTTCAACTCCGGCATGCACCTGTACGAGGTGAACCCCGGCAACCCGCTGGGCACCGGCGGCGCGCTGGCCGTGCGCTACGGGGAGCTGTGCAAGGAGGTACCGGGTGTTGAGCTGTGGAGGAGTTCCCACATAGCTTTCATCTTATATATCGGCGCAATTTACTTATTATAAAAATAATAACGATTGAATGTGATAATTGGATCATCTAATCTTCAACTAATTACTCTGTGTTTATTACGATGAGAAATTGATGTTAAACAGTCCCCTTTATTGTAATGCTTGTAACCCGAGTGCGGTGCGCGCGCAGGTGTGGTCGTGCAGCGCGCGCTCGGTGGCGCCGCTGGGCGTGCGCTGGTGCGTGTCCCGGCACGCGCGCGCGCTGGCGGGCGGCGGCCAGCACGACGCGCAGGAGCTGCTGGCGTGGCTGCTGGACGCGCTGCACGAGGACCTCAACCGCGCGCGCCCCCCCGCGCCCGCGCCCGCCCCCGCGGACTCCGCCGGCCGCCCCGACCAGGTGCGCCCCGCCCCGCCCCGCCCCGCCCCGCCCCGCCCCGCCGCGGCGTGCGCGGGGACTGTGTATGCACTGTGCGCTCAGGTGGTGGCGGCCGAGGCGTGGGAGGCGCACACGGCGCGGAACCAGTCCATCATCACGGAGCTGTTCTACGGGCAGCTGAAGTCCAAGGTGCGCTGCGACACGTGCGGCCACGAGAGCGTCCGCTTCGACGCCTTCAACATGCTGAGTCTGCCGCTGCCCATGGAGTCCTACCTGCGCTGCGAGATCAAAGGTACAAGGGCTTAACTTCTCAACATGGTCGGGCACACGTGGCCGGGGACTCTGCACTCATTGCGAGTGGACCACTGATGCCGTAACTAACATAAACTAAAGCAATTACAAAAAAAAACATGAAAATATTTTTCTTTTGCGTTGCATAACATTTTTTTTATACCCAGACAGACGAGCATACGGCCCACCTGATGGTGATTGGCTACCGTCACTCATGGTCGTAGCGATGCCAGGGGCAGAGCCATGCCGCCGCCCACCGCTTCTCCACAACAAAGCATGCAAGCAAACGGCAAGAAAGTTATCTAGTTTTTTCTTTTTTCGGCCCGGGGGCTGCACCTCCTACGAGTTCCCCGCGCCTAAGGGGCGCGCGGGGTATATAGGGTTTGACGATCTGAAGATGTTGGGAGCAGACCGCGGGCCCAAGGATTTTTAGGGCCCTACCGCATTAAACGACTCCCTTGCATTCTTACACCCGACGTCCGATCTCCGTCTGGGGTCAGAACCCGGTCAGAGTAGGGGGGTTCCCGCAGTCAACACTACAACCAGACACGCGGCGCCACCCCGAGGACGCCCGACCGACGGGTCGTCGAGGCGATAGTCGACAACCGACGACGCCGGTCTCCGCGGTACGGCGCCCCTACCAGGTCCGGGCGATGCCGCTGATGTTCCGGGATACCCCGCTGGGCCGGAACCAGCCTGCCAGGTCGGAACGCGATCCACCGCCGACCGGGTTGCTCTTCCACAGTATGTTCGGCGACGACAGTGACGACGACAATGCGGACCGCATCGCAGTCCGCAGCCACCGACGCGCCGTCCCGTCCTCCTGGTGCCAGCGCACTAGAGTGACGGTAGCGTGCAGCGCAGCCTCAACCCCCTCAAATCGCCCCGTGACCATCACCGGGAGGAGACTACCTCCTTACAGGGTCGGAGCTGGATGAATGCCCTCCTCCGACTCCCGGCTCGGGGGCGGCGGCACGGCGCCAAGAGGGAAGAAGAGCTCTCCTCTCCCGTTCCGCCGCCTCCTTGCGAGATGGTGAACTCGCAGAAGTCGAGCATCGCCTGCCTGGACTTTTCGCTGTCGAGCATCGTAGCCACGACGGTCGGCAGCGACAAGTCCGGTCCTATATTTGCAACGAGGACGCGGCGCTCCGGGGGCAGTGCGCGAGCGTGTGCCGCGCCGTGTTCTGCACTGTGTGTGTCCTGCACTGCAGTAGTGGCACTTCGGCGTCGGCTCCCTCCGGGCGACGAGGTGCAGGTAGCGACCGAAACAGCCGTGTCCCGTGAGCACCTGCGTCGCTCGGAAGGTGAGACGTCCTCGGGCGCGATTCACCCAGTCCGAGAGGACCGGGCGGATCGCCTCGACGGTCCGTCGCCCGTAGGCGGGGTCCGCCAGGCGGCGAGACCACGCCTCGAGCACGGCACACCGAGATTGAAGCTTCCGCGCTCGAACTTCCGCCGCGCCGGGACGCGGCTCCCCCCTGGAGCGGAGATCGCATCGCCACGCGTAATCCGCAGCAAGCGCCTCCGCGTCCAGGTCCCAGGGAGGCGTCCCGGCGAGCATGCACGCCGTCTCGAACGAGACGGTGCGACGCCGCGACGTTGTCGCGGGTCAGGGCGTGGCACCACACGGGAGCCTCGTACAGTGCCATCGACCGCCGCACCACTATGTCGGGACCACCGACGTTCGGCAACAGCCGACTCAGCGAGCCGGCGGCCGCCATCAGTCAGAGACCCAATCTTTCGAAGTGAGCCCGGAAACTCCAACGACCGTCCAATACGAGACCGAGGTACCGCAAGCGGGTCGCCTCGATCTCGACGCGGACGCCTCCGATCAGAGGTGGGCCCCCTGAGGCGGCGCTTTGAAACGTGCGGGCGGGCCCCGTGAAACAACAGGGCCTGGGATTTATCGAACGCAACCTCCAGACCCAGCCTTCGAATCCTGCCGATGACGAGGGCCACCCCCGCGGAGGACAGACTAGCACAAGTCCCTCCCCCGGGCCAGGACCAAAGTGTCGTCTGCGTAACAAACTACACTCAGACCCGGGAGAGAGGCGCTAAGAGCGCCCCGCAGGACCCAAGCATAGCCGATGTTCCACAAGAGAGGGTCAAGGACCGACCCCTGTGGAGCTCCGCCCCTTCCGTAAGAAAGTTATCTCCTAACGTAACAAACGTAGCGCCAGGAGAGCCGAGTGCACAATTGTAAATTATTATCAAACATTACAGTGATACTACTAGACGGATCGGTCCCCGTGAAGTACGGCGTCAGAGTCAACTCGGAAGGGACGTACCTGGACCTCAAGAGGAAGCTGTCGGAGCTGTGCGGCCTCCCGCCGGACCTGTGAGTACCGTGGCGGCGCCGGGCCCAGTGCGCGCACGGCGGCCCGGGCTCACGAGCGCGCGTGTCGCAGGCTGCTGCTGGCGGAGCTGGCCGGCGCCACCATCGGCCGCGAGCTGCGCGACGCCGACAAGCTGACGGCCGCCGGCGCCGCCGACCTGCACGCCTACGAGCTGCCGCCCCCCCGCGAGCCCCCCGCCGCCCGCGACCTGCTGCAGCCCGACGGTCAGTGCCCCCCGCCCGCCCCGCGCCCCGAGCCTCGCCCCGGCCACTACAGCCCACCCTCTCGTGTTGCAGGCTGGTGCGAGGAGGCGAGCCAGTGGGCGGAGGTGAGTGTGGGCCGCGCCGCCAATCCTTCCTCACTCTGCATGCCTGCACTGTTCTGCTTCAAGGTTAGCTCACACTCGCACATGACGCACACACGCCCGTGTCGCACACTCACTCGTACACCAGCGCGGTACCGTGTAGCTATTAGAGTTGCGTATTATGTCGTGTTCAGTCGGTCCCGCGGGGCCGCTGCAGCTGAACAGGTGAAGGCACGTTCGGTGCGTGGAGGGGACGCCGCGGGGCCGCGGGGGAGGGTGGCGCTCGAGCAGTGGACCCGATTGTAGTGAGACGTTCCTTTCGCCTCGTGTCATATTTCGTTCAACATTGAATCAAACATTGTTTTCCAATTCTTCAAATGTTCCCTCCGCGGCTCGGTTTAGTTCGATATCACATTAACAAGTGTAGTGCATTTTGTTGCACCGCTACTGAAGTCATTCAGCGATAACTTGCAGAACTGAAAGCGATTGATTCGGCAAATCTGAAAAAGCTATCTGAATCCAACTGGAAATGACTTGTGAATCATCGCTCCCGGCCCCCGCGCGCCGCCCGTGCGTCGATTGTTATTGTTTAATAGCTTGAGGTTTTAGTTTGCGTTATTGAACCTTTATACACGTAACTGGCTCTGCTCCTCTCGTGAGTAGTCCGGGGACTGCGGCACGAGCGCGCCGGGGCGAGTTACCCGCTACTACTGCCGACCTGTACTTGCAGAGGTCGCGGTCGGAGATGCTCATGTCGCAGAGTCCGCCGACGACGTTCTACGAGAAGCAACACCACCAGGACCGACTCCGCAGCCAGACCCTGCCCAAAGACATGACCAGAGGAAACAGCTCACCCGCGCTCAGCGTCAAGTCGCTCAACGTGAAGCCGGCTAGCCCTAGATTGGCCAAGGTCAAGTTTGGCTCGTCTCCCTCCAACATGTACAAGATGAGCGAGACGGAAAGCCCCTCGCTCGTCCCCAAACAGACGAACTACCTGGTGGCCGTGCACAGGTGAGTGTCGGGGCGGGGCGCGGGTGTGCCTCTCCCCCCGCGCACTGGGGGCGGGGCGCGGGTGTGCCTCTCCCCCCGCGCACTGAGCGGCGAGCGCGCGTGTTGCAGGAAGCAGTGTCGCGCCGACGCATACTTCCTGTCGTCGCAGCGCAGCCGCCCCGCGCTGTTCGGCGTGCCGCTGCTGGTGCCGGTGGAGCCGGGCCAGTCGGGCCGCCAGCTGTACGCCGCCGTGTGGAGGCAGGTGGCGCGCCTGCTGTCCGCGCGGCCGCCCAGCGCCGACCTCAACCACGCCACCGACTGGTGAGTGTCCCCCCGCGCGCGGCCTCCCGGCTCCGGCGGCCAGTACTCACGGCTCTGTGCGGTTGCAGCGACGACAGCCTGGGGTACGAGTTCCCGTTCACGCTGCGGGCCGTGCGCGCGGACGGCGCGTGGTGCGGGCGCTGCGCGTGGCCGGCGCTGTGCCGCGGCTGCGCGCTGCCGCTCGACGACCGCCCGCTCGTCGCGCACGCTGACGGTACCCCCTCCTCACTCTACACGCACGCATTGTAACATTCAATAATGTTGTTACATAATGTGAATAATGATTGCCGTGAACAGGTACTATACCCGTGTTGAAGAAGCGGTCCGGCGAGGAGCCCCCGGACGAGGAGCCGGGTCCGGCGGGCCGACCGCGCCAGCCGCCGGGTGCGCGCTCCGCCAGCCGACCCGACGTTAGTGCACGCCTTACTGTAACTGCGAACTCACCAATTTCAGGACGTATTAAGTATATCTGGTGTAGTTGTGACGCCTGCTAAAGTTAAATTTAACGACGCTTGTATAAACGGTTCGGTGGCGGTGCAAGGCTGGAGACGTTGCAGGGCGGGTGCTGGCTGCGCGCGGGGTCGGGGCGCGTGCTGCTGGCGGTGGACTGGGAGCCCACGGCGCTGCACCTGCGCTACAGCAGCGCGCTGGAGCGGGCCTGCGCGGAGCACGGCTCGGTGCGGGCGGGCGGCGCGCGGCCGGCGGGGCTGGCCTCCTGCCTGCGCGCCTTCACCCGCGCCGAGCGCCTGGAGCAGCACTACCGCTGCGCGCGCTGCCGCTCCCACCAGCCCGCCACCAAGACGCTGCAGATATGGCGCCTGCCGCCCATCCTGGTCCGCATCTCTCCCTCTCTCTCTCTCCCTCTGTGTGGGGATCTCAAAGTTATAATAATAATAAGCCTTTTATTTCATGCAAATAATAGGTTACATACACGTTTCAAGTATGAAGAAGAAATTATAAGAAGAAAAGAAAAAAGAAAAAAAGGAAAGAAGAAAAAATAATAGTGATGCTGTTTACACTTGTTTGCCCCCTTCTCCTTCCTCCTCTCATCCCTCTTCCCTCAATCCCCTCGTTTAAAAAAATATAAATATAGATAGTGCTTTTTTTAAAAAAGTTTATAGTGTCTAAAATATAAAAGTTTGTTTACATGAACCCTCCTCAAATGAAGGTGAAGGCCTCCTCTAAAGAATACCATATATCTTTATCTTGGGCTATTTGTGGCCAGCGGGTACCAGCTATTTTTATCAGCTCGTCTGACCATCTCATGTGGGGTCTGCCTTTCCGGCGTTTGCCTATTGGACCCTTCCACGTTGTTACCCTGTTGGTCCATCTCTCATCCTTTAGCCTCGCCACGTGCCCAGCCCACTTCCATTTTAGTTTCTTAGCGTAGATTAGAGCATCCGTCGCTTTGGTGGCTTCTCTAATTTTTGTGTGACGAATTTTTTGCATCTTTTTTATATTGAGCATACTTCGTTCTATTCCGCGTTGGCAGCTAGTAATTTTGCTTTTTAATTTACATGTAAATTTCCAAGTTTGACATGCATAGGTTAGACAAGGTAGGATGCATTGCATCATGACTTTTGTTTTGATATTTGTTGGCATGTTACTTTTGAATATCTCTTTTAAGGACCAATACTTGTTCCAAGTATTTTGTACTCTTCGTTCTATTTCTAGGTCATTTTGTTTTCTGTTCAAGCCAATTTGTTTTCCAAGGTAGATGTAATTCTCTGTATATTTCAGAGTTTCGTTGTCCACTGATATTCTTCTCTGTAAACTATTTGTCATAACCATTGTTTTAGAAAGATTCATTTCCAGTCNGAGGAGGGCGTTTGTCCAGCTCCAGCCCCTATGAGGAGGCAGTCTCCTCCCGGTGATGGTCACGGGGCGACCTAAGGGGGTTGAGGCTGCGCCGCACGCTACCGTCACTCTAGCGCGCTGGCACCAGGAGGACGGGACGGCGCGTCGGCGGCTGCGGACTGCGATGCGGTCCGCATTTTCGTCGTCGCTGTCGTCGCCGAACATACTGTTGAAGACCAACCCGGTCGGCGGTGTATTCCGACCCGGCAGGCTGGTTCTGGCCCAGCGGGGTATCCCGGAACACCAGCGGCACCGCCCGGGCGGCCTGGTAGGGCCGCCGTACCGCGGAGACTGACGTCGTTGGTCGTCGACTATCGCCTCGACGACCCGTCAGTCGGGCGTCCTCGGGGTGGCGCCGCGTGTCTGGTTGTAGTGTTGACCGCGGGAACCCCCCTACTCTGAACGGGTTCTGACCCCGGACGGAGATCGGACGTCGGGTGTAAGAGTGCAGGGGAGTCGTTTAGTGGGTGGGCCCTAAAATCCTTGGGCCCGCGATCTGCTCTCAACACCTGCAGATCGTTGAGTCTCACATACCCCGCGCGCCCCCTAGGCGCGGGGACCTCGTAGGAGGTTCGGCCCCCGGCCCGAAAAAAAAAACCCTGTGCAGTACTAATTTGTACGTTATTACAAAGTTAAGTCGTACACTGTGTACATTACTAATAAAAATCTTACGTTACGGATATTTTTTCCCGGTTAGGGTACCCCTCCGCATCGTCCCATATAGAACTTCGTTCCAAAAATATTAAATTAAAATTGTAGCGCTGCAAAAAGTTTTGCAGAGGTCTTTCATTTTGCATTTATCAACACACCGACGAAGTTATAGGATCGAGCGACATTTGTAGGTTATTTTCAGACATAATGACACTCGCAAACCTATTATCTTGATCATTACCGTGACGTATTAAAACGCGGTGTTTACGATCACGACATTAAGACTGAAATCTTAACACGCAAACACGAATTCTAATGTCTGTACAAAAGTGCTCACAGCGTGTGCTACTTGCCTCTGAATCAAGTGGTAGTCAATGCGATACTAGACAACCACTTTATTATCTTTATGTTTTTTATTTTTTTTTTGTTGCTTAGATGTGTGGACGAGCTCACAGCCCACCTGGTGTTAAGTGGTTACTGGAGCCCATAGACACCTACAACGTAAATGCGCTACACACCTTGAGATATAGTTCTAAGGTCTCAGTATAGTCACAACGACTGCCCCACCCTTCAAACCGAAACGCATTACTGCTTCACGGCAGAAATAGGCGGGGCGGTGGTACCTACCCGTGTGGACTCACAAGAGGTCCTACCACCAGTAATTACGCAAATTATAATTTTGCGGGTTTGATTTTTATTGCACGATGTTATTCCTTCACCGTGGAAGTCAATCGTGAACATTTGCTGAGTACGTATTTCATTAGAAAAATTGGTACCCGCCTGCGGGATTCGAACACCGGTGCATCGCTCGATACGAATGCACCGGACGTCTTATCCTTTAGGCCACGACGACTTCACTTGTTAGGCAAAAGGTGGTTTAACTAATGATAACCAGACCGGAATACGTGTCTAAACAACGCAATTTATGTTTGAAGCTGCCTTGTGAGACATACGAACAAGCTCATCAGCTTTCTTTGACCATCGTCAGTATCGTACATTGCCGTCCATAATAGGAGAGGCACAGCCATAGCATCTGCCTCTCAGGACTGTTTTCATAGCTCATTTCACATAGGACTTCTTCTCGGCTAGGTCCATTAAAGGTGGAGGTTTGAGGTTTGTGGCAGTACAATGCATTCAACTTCCAATGAATCTCCATTAAAATAATTTGCCCGTACTGTTTAATTGAAATCGACCACCTTTTTTTTATTGCTTATTTGGGTGGACGAGCTCATGGCCCACCTGGTGTTAAGTGGTTACCGGATCATAGACATCTACAACATAAATGCCGCCACCCACCTCGAGACATGAGTTCTTAGGTCTCACTTTTAACAGTACGGCTGCCCCGTCCTTTAAACCGAAACGCATTATTGCTCATGGAAGAAATAGGCAGGGTAGTGGTACCTACCCGTGCGGACTCACAAAAGGTCCTAAGAACAGTAATTGCTCAAATTATAAATTTGCGGGTTTGATTTTTAATACACGATGTTATTCCTTCACCGTGGACGTCAATCGTGAACATTTGATAAGTACGTATTTCATTAGAGAAATTCGTACCCGCCTGCGAGATTCGAACACCGGTCCATCGCTAGATACGAGTGCACCGGACGTCTTATCCTTTAGTTAGGCCAACACGACATAATTCCCTAGATAGGTTTTGAATTAGATCTAAAATAATAAAAAATGGCGTACCGATTTCTCTTCGTTCTCCTTCGTGATATTCGAGGTGTACTCCCATTCGGCTAAGCTAGCCCTGTTCTTCCTCAGGCCGGTCGCTTTGTCCAGATGCAGCATGTACTCCCGCGCCTCGTGCTCCCGCGCCTCAAGGTCCGGGTCCCGGCCCTGCGTGGCCACGATGAACACGGCAACGATCGCTGCGATCAATACCGCACCGCCCCCCACTTTCAGCATCGTCTGTTGAAAATAAATAAAATTTTACTGGCGATAGGACATCTTGTGAGTCCGCGCGGGTAGGTATCACCAACCTGTCTAATTCTGCCGTGAAGCAGTAATGCGTTTCGGTTTGAAGGGTGGGGCAGCCGTTGTAACTATACTGAGACCTTAGAACTCAGATCTCAAGGAGGGTGCCGGCATTTACGTAGATGTATATGGCCTCAGGTAACCACTTAACACCAGATGGGCCGTGAACTCGTCCACCCATGTATGCAATAAAAAAATGTTTCAATCACGCACGTAGCTAAAACAGACTGCCCAAGACAGATGTTAATGGAAGGATTTGATTCGAGCCCTACAACCCAGCAGAGGGTAATAGGAAATAAATCAGAAGAAGAATTACGCAAGTTCATCTGGTACCAAATTAGGATTCCCTGTGCTATGGGTACCAGAGACGGACGGACATGCTTATTATATACGGTAGGCAGCGGCTTGGCTCTGACCCTAACATTGCTGAAGTCCATGGGCGACGGTAACCACTCACCATCAGGTGGGCTGTATGCTCGTCAGCGTACAAGGGCAAGAAAAATACGTTTAAATATATACATATACTAGCTGTACTCGTCCGCTTCGCTGGGCATTTAAAATTAACATTATTATTTCTCACCCCCACAAAGATTCTCATGATTAACGCCCCCGCAACTGGTTTAGGGAGTCCAACACTCATTTAAATATTAGCCTATCCATTAAGTACATTTTCTTCTTGGATACCAAGTTTCAAGTCAATCGGATGCATGGTTCAGTAGTTATAACGGAACATCCGTAAAAACCACTGTAGATTTATATACCTATATTAGTAATAGATGTATAAGTTATACCACCTATACACCGGGCGTCTTACCGGTTAACGATTCACAAAATCCTGTGTATACAAGGGTATGTACAAATCAAAAGGTAAGCAGTATATATGTAATTACCTTTTTCTGATTAAAAAATTCTAACGCTAACTAATACCATAGACGAGGTTTGTTGAAACCAACCGAGCGCAGTCACTCGCGACGGAGTGAAGGACAAAATCAACATGATAATATGTCCTCTTAAACTATAGCATCTGATGATTTACAATTATTATTATTATTGCCCTTGTAGGCAGACGAGCACACGGCCTACCTGATGATGAATGGTTATCGTCACCCATGGACTTCAGCAATGCCGGGAGCAGAGCCAAGCCGCTGCCTACCGCTTAATACTCTCCACAAGCCTCGTTTGAAGAAGGACATGTCATAGCGCTCGGGAAACACCGTGGAGAGGAACTCATTCCATAGCCGGATGGTACATGGCAAAAAGACCTCTCGAAACGCACTGTGGATTAACGCTATAGAACTATTAAAATCGTATTTTTCAATAGCTTTTTGGAGCAATCACTTTTTTCCTAAATGTTGTCTTCTTTTAAATGTGGCACTGGTGGTAACCGATATTGTGAGCATGGACGGGTGCCAACATACAGAGTATTCCTACCGCGATGTGGCAGTGCTGATCCGTAGGACCAGACAGCCTTTTCACAATATAAGGGAGCTTTCCACCTCATTTCCCGAGATAGGTAGCGGTTTCATTTTATCTATCTACCTAGAGGGGCTATTGTGGCTTTATCTTGATAGATAGGTATAGGAACTCACGGGGCTCAGCCTGATAGAGCAGTAGGCAACCCGCCCCCTCACCCCTGTCGCCACCTAAGGCGCGGCCAATTTTTTTTTCCTACCTACGCTAATAGCCTTGAGAGGCTATTTCAGCGTAGCCTTAACTAGTAGTTGAGCTCACGGGGCTCAAACCTGACGACGTTGCTAGCATTGGCCCTAGCAAAAGCAGTGTTTCGCTAAATCTAGCACCTAATCGGAATGCTGACCCACTGAGAAGATTCGGCTAGAAATTTGAACTGAGTTTCCTTGGTGGGTTAATGGGTAACGGAATTCACTCAGTGAGCTCCGGTGACCTATTACTACCAAAATACCCATCTGGAGTTATAAACAAAAGAGGTTTTCATTCGTTTACAAGCTCTACTCTTCAAAATATTTCCTCCCTCTCATTAAACATGCTTCGATTAGTATTTATCTCATTTTCAATGAACAACAAAGACAACATAAATTTCAACAAATAGAAATTCGTATTTCCGTATTATCCGTAAATTCCATATTTTACGTATGTGCTCGTATAACGGACAATGAGCACGTATGCACGACAGTATATAGGTATTTCGCGTATTGTTATAAAGAATAGCAATAAATAACTGTGAAGAAATCACGTACGGTCGTCCGCCCCCAAATTAGGATTCCCTGGTACCAGAGACAGAGATACATTCAAATATTTACGAGTATATATATACATAATATATAGATAGATAACTAGCTTTTGGTCCATAATATATAGATAGATAACTAGCTTTTGCCCGCGACTTTGTCCGCGTGGAATAGTTCACAAATAATGCTTTATTTTAGAACAAATTTGGTTAGCATAAAAAGCGTTATAGTTAGTCAACCTTAACATATAGACATATGCTGTCACGGACTTTTTTTTTAGACCTTTTAAAGGGGAACAATTCTGTCATACATTATTTTACCGAAACTTTAATCGTATCTGCAGCGCACGCAGCGGAAGCTCTCAAAAGGGAAAAAAACCCGATTTTGAAACATTATTTATTAGTGCTCCGCTTATGTTGGTCTTAGCGTGATGTTATATAGCCTATAGCCTTCCTCAGTAAATGGGCTATCTAACACTGAAAGAATTTTTCAAATCGAACCAGTAGTTCCTGAGATTAGCCCGTTCAAACAAACAAACTCTTCAGCTTTATAATATTAGTATAGATCAGGGGTGGGGCAAATATTTTGATAGTCGGGCCACATTGCAGATGAAAATTTGACCTCGGGCCAAACAGTTTTTTTTCTAATTTTATATTGTGCGACTATTATACATATTGTAATTGTTTAATTATCATAACTATATTTTCGAATAGGAGGCGCTGAATGGAGCGGTTGTCCAAGAGAAAATTTTGGCTCCCACCGGCCCTGATAATTTAATTAATTTAATTAATTTGTTAATATTTTATCTAAAAAAATTTATGCACCAATTTATGTTAGACAAAAACTAATATTTGTGTTTTTAATAATAATATATACAATGCTTCACGGGCCGGACAAAATTCTACCGGCATTTGCCCAGGCCTGATATAGATAAACAACTGGACGAAGAGCAAACAAACCTGGTAATCACACAATGTTTGACCGATGTGGGAACTACTGCACTACGTATAATAACATATTGTTATTATATTGTTTTAAATTTAAACTAACCTTTATTTTCGACTTTTTTAAAAATCATCATTACATTATTTTATTTCCGTCATGTCCGTGACCACGAAAACTGTAAAGTATTCCTAACGTCGAACATATAATAATATAATGACGATAAAAAGCTCTAGATTAAACCGTAAAATTTGTTTTAAATATGTCTCATGTCTCGAGAAAACAGAAAACAATGATATTGTTATGTTGTTGCATATATATATTGTTTTGTTCTAAAAACAGAAGATGTTTCTGAATTTTTCACCGTGAACAATTGTAAATATTTTTTTGACTTGTCATGTAATTATGTTTACAGATTTTATGCTTCTAAATAATTAACTCTGTATATATTAACATTCTTATTACAAAAAACCGCCCGCCACCGGAGTAGAGTTCATCCATACTACCTGGAGCCTATTTCTGCCGTGAAGCAGTAATGAGTTTCGGTTTGAAGAGTGGGGCAGCCGTTGTAACTATATTGGAACCTTAGAACTTATATCTCAAGGCGGGTGGCGCATTTACGTTATAGATGTCTATGGACTCCAGTAACCACTTAGCACCAGGTGGGCTGTGAGCTCGTCCACCCATTTAAGCAATAACAAAAACCTACTTATTCGCTTGTAGCCTAGGAGGCTATTTCAGCTTGGCCTTAGCCAAAGCAGTGCTTCGCAGAATCTACCACCGGATCGGAATCGCAACCCACTGAAAAGATCTGACGAGAACTCAGTGGGGTTAAAAACATTGTACTCCTAATGCGTTATTATATTTTGCTAACATTGACAAGCAGTCCAGCTTTCGGACTACTAATGATTACTAATGACTCGGCATGATAATTGCTGCCATTCACTTAGACGCATAGGTAGAGGCAGGCAGTGTTTGGCTGTGGTAGGACCTCTTGTGAGTCCGCGCGGGTAGGTACCACCGCCTTATCGTGAAGGAGTAATGCGTTTCGGTCTGAAGGGTAGGGCAGCCGTTGTAACTATACTGAGATCTTTAGAACTTATATCTCAAGGTGGGTGGCGCATTTACATTGTAGATATCTATGGGCTCCAGTAACCACTTAACACCAGGTGGGCTGTGAGCTCGTTCACCCAATTAGCAATAAAAAAAATTAAAAAAGTACCCTTGGCATTGCGGGAGTCCATGAGCGACAGTAATCACTTATTATCAGGTGAGTCGTTTGCTCCTTCTATCTTCTACCTACAAGAACTATGAAAACACCTCACTCAAAGTACACCTCTTAAGCTTAATGTTACAGGATATTAGTAATGCATTGCTCTAAAAGTGCAATTAAATAATTAGATCAAAGCTGCTCTTAATTAGTTCTGTGACATGTCTCATTGGTGGACAAGAAACCTTATTGTTAATGTAATCTGAAGATTTGAAAACAAATGATACAAACAATAGTCTGAAATGTAACGCTCAAGACGTGACGTTAAAATAAATGGTTTTTAAGTTAATACGTTGGTTTTTTTTGGTCATTATTTTATATTTTTAAGTAGCACAAGTTTGAAGGCGAGGTAAGTCACGAATTTATAAGTGGTGGCTTTTCAGTTCTTCAGACTTGGTAGGGCATTCTAATTCAAATTATTTCAGATTATTTTTGTCATAGATCAAACGGAGAAATGTGCTTCGAACGATCGAAGTCTTGAGAGTATTTATTTTGAATCTTGAACATTGTTTTTT